CTTGTGGGAGAAACTGGAGCACCCAGAGGAAACCCACATGGACATGGGGAAGACTCCTCACAGAAATGCCAACTGACCCAGGTGAGGCTCGAACCAGTGAACTTCTTGCCGTAAGATGATTGTGCTACCCAACTGCGCCACCGTGACAACCAAACAAAACAGATTTGTTAAACAGGTATATTTATTGAAATTATATTTTAGTCGCCAAACATCTTTAGAAAAAGAGAAATACATTTAAATTCATACAAAATATTGGAGAAAAACATACAAACTTTTTGTAATTTCTAATTTTCTAGCTTTTTGTTTCTCTAGAATTTTAATGAATGATAATCTTTTAAAAATAAGTAATTTAGGCTATACTGCTACTTGCTCATGCAAAATTAAACCCCAGAAAATATATTGTAGGCCTAGGCTATTTTAACAGCTAAAATACAGTTAGCAAATTGATTTTATTTTGAATTTTAGCTTATGGTCCTAAAATGAAAATGTAGCCTAACTTGAAAAGTTATTTAACTAGGCTTAATAAATAAATAAAATGACAGGTAGGCCTAATAGCCTAATGGTTTATGGTGGCGTTTTTACAAATGCCTACTAGGCAATTTCACAAAAGAAAAAACACTCATAGCCATAACGTAAATCTTTGTTTTTATCTTTAAAATTTTACTGCTAGTTATATAGCCCATTGAGTTGCATCTATCCACCCCAAAAGTTAACCAATTTTCACGGTAATAGCTAATTTTATTTTTTGAGGTAGGTAGACAGACTGTTTTTCTGGCTACACTATTTCCTTTAAATGTAATGTTATGACATTAGAGATTGTAACATTTGCTTTTCCCTAACATTGATAAATGATGGGTTGGTAAGGCTACGTGAAAAGTAATGACTCGGTTGTGCTGATTTAGCTATATTTATTTACCGGTTATACGAATAGTCTAACCGTGAGATAGATTGCATGTGTGGGCATAGTTTGATGTCTTTACCTAAAACGTTACACATTTATTTTATTAGAAATAAAACAAATATTTAAAAAAAAAATAAAGACAATATGATTTAAAGCTCATTTGGTGCTGAAGCCATGATCTGTCTGTGTTTATGTAAACTGTATCGTTGCATAACCTTCATTGATAAAATCAGTAAAATCGAAACTGTACATATTATTACTATAAAAAGTATATTACTGCCTTATGTCAGTAGCTTGGTCAGTAATGCAAAGTAAAAATAAATAAGTAAACAAATAATGAAAGAGACAAGAGGGACCAAAATCAGTCACAAGGTCTAGTGCCCCACTTTGGGATTAAATTACCCCCTCAGTTGTGACATCTTGGCACCGGGTCTGCCATGGAGATATGTGTCTATCAATCCATTCAGTGTGCTCAATCAACAAGGCCTAAGTTTAAAAAAAAAAGACCATTAGCAATTGTGTAACTAACCATCTTCATTATTATAACTGCAACAATCTGTTCCATCTCTGTGTATATTAAATAGATTTGATATTTTCCCAAAATTCATAGGCCACTGTTTATTGCAATTCATAGAACTAGAGTACTGTGAAATGTTTTATTCTATCATAAATCTTTATCTCTATGCCTCTATCTATTATTTGGTTGATTGCCACAGATAAACCAATGTTGTCAAAGAAAAGGAGATATCATGGACCAGCGGCCACCTTTGTAAACAAATGACTAGAAATACGTTTAGATAGTTCTAGCAGGCATGAAGCCAGGATCTTACAACATGCCTGAGCCAGTCAGAAGAAAGTTGCTTATAAAGCAATGACAACACTTTCCCAATTTAGAATACTTCCACTTGGATACGAAAGAACTTAGTGACAATTTAAGCTCCAAAAACATGTTTATGCGGATTTCCAGCTAATATAGATCCAGTCTTATATTACAGAATATGATGATTAAAAGGAAAACACTTTATAGACATGCATATTTTTATTTTAATAATGGAATTGTTTGTAAATTATAATGTTTCAGATAGATTGTTGTTTAAAAAAGGCATGTGGTTAAGGAGCCTATCTAAAATAGGATAAGTGGATAATGACAGCTGTATCAGTTATCCTGCCAGCAGAGGGAAGGAGAGAGTTGGTTAAATCTCTGCAGAAATGCACTTACACTTGCCATCATCAAAAAATATAGATAAATAATGTTTTATTTAATGTTATCATAAAAAAAATCTATCACCAATTCCATGCATACTTGTAAGTTCAACAAAAAGCTAAACCAATTATATTGATGAAAAGTTATTTTACATGATCATCTGAGACACCTTTTTTTATTAAAGTTTCAAGTCCCATCAAAAATACTTTACACGAATATACTCCTAAATCCTACCAAAATCAACTCTTTTTAGACATACATTATGCATTGAAATTTCACACTGATCCAAAAAAACCCTGCTGCATTCCAATGGTATAAATATGCCTTTGAAGTGTACTTTGGGTACACTTTTGGGTACATTATGTTATCCTGAGAACAAGCGTGGCCTTTTTAAAGGATTGTTCCAAAACAGAGATCTTAAAACTGGTTCTTTGCAATAAATGAATTCAAGAGCTACAGAAGAGGACTTGCTAACATTTCCCCCCCGCATTTTTTATTTGAGATGTAGATGGCGTACAATGATCCTAAAGTGCAATTTTGTGGGACCTAATACTATTTTATGATGTATTAAAAGAATTAAACTTTAGAAGAGATTTTTAAACCTTTGAAGGGATTTTTGGGGCCTTACAAAATTAAATATAGCCATACTGATGACTGGTGGGTGTCACGACACCTGTGTGGACAGATATCTGAAAGCTTGTCTATTTTCAGCCACATCCAGACTCATTTGAAAAGGCATTTGATTGGGTTGATCAAGCAATTAAGTTATTGCATTCAAAACACTACTTATTACTTTGCCTACTTTGGATGATCGAGTGATGTCATTGTTGCTGTTACGGTTGCCTCATTGTGTGTGTTTGGAGCTTCATCATGTAGAGTCGCAATTTCCAATTTTATGATAAAATACATCCCCTTTCTTCTAATATCTGCCTTTCCTACTGAGGGTGAACAAGCATTCACTTCTAGCTTTAGCCTGCTAGAAACTACTGGTTTCTTTCACTTACTGTCTTTGCTCTTCACCCTGTACAATGTTGCTTGTGTCTCTATCCTTTAGTGCAGGAGAACCATCAGTGGATGTGTTGGAGCTGGAGCTGGAAGCACGAATCCGTGACCTCGAGATGAAACGAGCACACCTCCGGGAAAAACGGGCCTCGCTCGATGTCCCTTAGGCTGCAGCTAGCTCATCTGAGGTAAGCGATACAATCTCAACACTCTGTGCACCTCTATCCTCTATGTTTCTCTCTGTCCAGGCCCAGCGCACCGAGGACAAGGTTTGCCTGGGGGTTGTTCACTCTGGCACCGGGCTACCGTGGCCACTGGGTGCAACTGCGAAGAGTGCATACCAGGTCAGAGCCAGAACATCTCCTCGTCCTGTGTTTGAGATCCCCACGGACAACCGTTTTACCCCCTTTCACAAGATGGGTCGTGACATCGCAGTTAACGGCGATTCCATCGTTCACCACGTGCGCACTGCTATTACTAAAGGTAACAATGTGCACTCACTACTTTCCCGGTGCCCGTGTTAAGGATGTTGCTGTCCTTGCTAGCTGCCATTTTCTTGGTTTCCTGCTCATTCATAATCAAATAAGATTTGTTTATTCTATAGTACTTGTGTATTCAACTAAACACTCCAGCATTGAGGCAAGTGTCTTACCCAAATCTGAACAACAGTGGTCACAAGAGACAGTTACTGTAATAAAAGGTGGAAACAAGGGAAAGTATGAGAACATCTGTCAGTATGAGAGTCACTCCACATACACCTCCATAAGGTTAATGTTAATTTAAACATTTATTTAAACTCAAATTTACTGCTTCAACACAAAATCTATGAAGATAGGAGCCAACTTGGGATGTTTGCCATTTTGCTTGGTCTTTATCAACCAAATAATAGCTATTATCAGACTCTCTGTGTTGTTTTTTACAACTATTCCTTTTCCAAAGTCCTTATCGCAACAGGTTTCAACACATAAAGAAACAACACACTTGCTAATAACTTCTTTAGCAGCTGGGGGATTTTAGAAGTTTCAAAAAGAGGACCGCTAATCCCTGCAGGTTTTCACAAAGTGGCTTGTACAAACCGTTTCATTGCCAGGATGCTGGTTTCAGGGTTCAGGGAAAGATCACATTACTTCCAATGGCTGAAATCAGAGGAGGCAGCATTGAGCCTGTGAGATGTGAGCCTCTAAACAGCTGAGGGGTCACTGCTCTCTGTGTTCACCCTCACACATTCGTAAGCCGTCTCACACGTGCACGCAACTCCCCCCTGGATCTGTTCTTTGAACGTTTCGTTTTTAGATATTTCCACAAAGGCATTTCACAGTTGCCCAGTTTATTTAAGGACACTTTGCTGTACCTTCTCTGACAATGAAATGCATTTTGAAAATACACCATTGGCTGTCACATCTATGCTGTTGATGAAATGTTCTCAGTGTTACACTATCGGTTACACTTTGTTTTGCTGCTCCCATTTAGACATTCTGTTGACTATTTTAACAGTTCCCAAAACAGTCTACTAACTCTCTTATTAGAGTAACACTGGCAGACAGTTAGAATTTCTTATAGTGAATATAGATGGAGTGAATATAGATATAAAATGAGGGTTAGCAGACATTAACCAAGCTGTTCTGCTAAATTTGTAAGTTAACATGCTGTAAAGCAGTTACATTGTAAGTGTTGGTCATCAAAAGGGGAGCATCAAAATAAAGTGTTACCATGTTATCAGAGAAACATTGTTGCCTTAGCTTATAAACAGGGCCGAGTATGTGTGATCTGCATGCTTAATAATTTGGAGGGCTACACCTGTAAGGTTGATGACAGATCCCATAAAATTATGACCATTACCAGGAATCCTCGGCAGTCTTTGGATGGCTTCGAAGGACCACGATGGTACTGCTGCCACAAACAAAAGGTTGTGAACATTCAAATGTATGCCGAAAGTTTTCAGGAGGCCAGGAGGCTGCTGCCCTTCTCCTTAGGTTTTATTGCAAGGTCTCAAGTAAGTCAAGCAATCTGCTCAGGACGAGCCATCTAACCTATCTTTAGCCACTGCAAGCAAGTGAATGGAGAGCCTGACTTATCTTCACTGCTGTCATCGAGGCTGCCAGTATTTTTAGGGGACAGCAGCAGCTGCAAAAGCATTTAACGGTCTTCTACGAACAATGACACTAGGGGTGTCTCAGGACTAAACACCACAGAGTTTGTGGGACCGCTGGAGCATTCAAAGGAAAGCGGTCTGATAAAATTAAAAACATCTTAAAAGGGGCACGTAGGAGCCTTGGCAAAATGGACAGGTGACACGGAGTAGATGTTAATGAGGAAGACATACCACAACAAATCTACGAAAGTGGAAAAGGATTATTCGGTGAAAAACAAAATACTGCTGGAAGGGTGGTGAAGCAGAAGAAGCTGGTCACAACGGAATGTATATTGACAGTTGTCTCTGAGGACCGAACAGAGGTAGGACATGTTTATGTTACAAAGAGCAGTTTCCCTGAGGTCAAAGGTCAGTCTTATTAAATTAGGAGCACAAACAAGAGGTTAATCCCCTTTTAAAGTCCTGAGGGAAACTGGATTGCTGATGTTATACAATAATCCCAGTTGGTGGTATAATACAAATATCCACATTCCCAGTGTTTATGATGAGATCTTCAATGAGTTTTCAGTCTATATTTAAACGCAATTAGGGAATTAGTGTGTTTAAGACTTTTCAATTGTTGGCAGATTCTTGCAAGGTTGTTTTGCATGTTGTTTTATTGTCTTGTTCATAGCGTGGCACAAACTTCAACATAAAGAATGATAAATAACTAGAAAATGTTTAAGGTTTTGAAGAGGATACTTGGATCCCCGGATCAATTTCTGTGGGTTAGTTGTGCGTCATAGATTCCCAGGATTAGCGATTCATGAGTTGTGGTATCCTAAAGCAGATAAACTAGCCATAGCATATAAACATCTCCTGCAGATCGCACAGGCCAAACTTGCAGCGTGATTGAATTTGAGAAGCCACAAATAAAAAAATTCATATGAGGACATGGTAAACCAATATGCTTTGGATTACCTCATGTGCAACAAAGGATGTTTTCAGGGGAATACATTGCTTAATAGTACAGAGCAAGAACTTCTTGAATCAAATGAAAAACAAACCAATTTTGACAATGACATTTAAAAGCTAAATTTGTCAGTGCATTTGCTAGTGCAAGGCATGTAAGGGAGGCATAGAATATTTTGACTGAGGTCCCCATGGGGTGTGTCCTGCGCGAGTGTGTGAGACCTGTGTTGTATGTGCACGCGTGTTGTGTGGTGCGCTTTGTGATACCTGACACATGCCCTCTCACAGGTCTTTATTTAGGGCATACTATATAAAGCACTTTCCCATTGAAATACAGCACCAGCTGTGTTAGTTATGTGTTGTGGTCACTGTTGCAATAGGGCTAAAAGACTATTCGCCATCTATATGGGTGGCTTGCGCTATTTTCTCATAAAGCATAAAATCTGAGAAGGTTTTAAGCATTTAGTCCTTTTGTTCAAAAGAATCATTTCGTAATTGAGAGAGCCAAAATTATTAAACTCTACTAGTAAACAAAAACGCAGTGTCAACAAACAGTTTTAATCAGCAATTAATTAAGAGGTTATAATTAAACCTCTATACCCTATTTTTTCTTGTTTTTCTGAGGAGATTCTACTATTATAGGTCACTTCAGGTGGCTTATAGACAACTAATTTAAAGCTAATGACTAATGACTCATCATGATTTGCTCTGGACTAAATAATTTGTTAGACACCAAACTTTCACTGCAGCTATTTTAAAGTGCACTCACACTATGCTATCCGAACAGTGCCCAGGCGTGTTTCCCGTTTTTTTTTCTTCACAAATTTGAGTGCTCCGAATCGGGCCCAGATGCGGATCAGTTGGCCATCCCTAACCTGGTTGGAGGAGGTGTGCCAGAGCGCGGTTCGGTTGGGCTTTGGCACGGTACGCTTGTAGTGTGAATGCAAATTATGCCTGAGCCTGAAACTGAAGACACAATGTCACTTTTAAGGGCACTGTTTCATATGGATTTATTGATTATTCTTACATTTCAATAAACGCAAACTGTCGTAGTTTATTAAAGACGCAAACCTCTTGCTGCACCTTCAGCAAACCTCCTAACGCCTGCAGCACGAGGACTTTTATGATAATTTATGAATGTCAAAAGTTGTGGATCTGTTCTGCAAATTATTTGACTGCGTGCCACTGCATCCCAAACGACTAAAAATAATATAAAACAATAGAACTAAAGCAATGTCCACTGTGCTGAGTGAGAGCGCTTCTCTTCATTTTAAATTGAACAGTCGCATCATCAATGACTAAAGCATTATCAGGTTCGATAGTTAAAGATGCAGTGTGAGTGCAGGCCATCGGGGGAGAGGGGAGGGGGACAACTGCGCTTCGGCATGATTCAAGGCAACTGTACCTTGTGAGAGTACACCCTTAGGGAGCATTAAGCAAACTGACAGAAATAGCTGAAATTTAACATCTCTAATGGTCTGTTCACACTAAGAACAAGAACTAAAAAGATTACTATAAGTGTGCATGTGATGTACTATATTGTTGTATATTTTAAAGGCATTCCACAGTTCTCTTGTCTGCTGCTTTAAATGACTGTACTTTTGAAAGCAGTTTTGCTGTCAATGTGTTTTTTGTTCCATTATCTATTGGGATTTTTTTTTTCTGAAAGTAATCATGACAATATTGTTCTGCATGGTTAAAATTGTGATATTCTCTACTATCCTTTCAACTTTATAACAAGTTCTAGAACTAATTTATTAGCATTATAGCTATCACTCTTGATATGACCAAGCCAGGTTAAAATAATTTAAAGATTAAAATGTCCTAAAATGTTTTTAAATCACAATGCATCCTATTTTTTTTTTACATTGATTCCTCAATATCTCTCACAACCTTCATATTTAAATACACTCTCAGAACTACAGGTTAAAAAAGGCCATCTTTGAGGTGGTACGTTTTTTGTACACTGATTGTGCTATTATGAACCAAATGTTAACCTTTTAAAAAGAAAGTGCAACAGTGACAGCTTTTATACCTTTATTTCTAAGACTAAAATATTATAAAATGTATGAAGCTGCTGGAGGTTATCAAAGCCTAAATTAAACATATTTTTCTTTGTTATGATTCAGACTTACTTGATAAACAGCTGGACAACCAAATTCTCCAGAGCAATAAATAGACTGAATGCCTGTAGCCTGTCAATCTGAGTGGAGGTTGGCAAGCGAGAAGGGATGGATGTGTTTGGTGGAGCACCACGGTTCCTGGCATACCCTCGGCCTGTGGTTGTACAGAGTGGCACAGATGCAGTTCTGAAATGTCAGATCGGCGGAGATCCCAGACCTGCCGTTATATGGGAAAGAAACAATGAGAAGATTCATCCAGAGGGCAGATACCGGGTGTTTGAGGATGGAAATGTCTACAACCTTATAATAACTTCAGTGACAATGGAGGACAGTGGGCAATACATCTGCAAGGCAAAGAACTGCATTGGAGAGACTTATGCAGCAGCCACTTTAAAAGTAGAAGGTGAAGCACAGGAGATGGAAGTTCGGGAGGAAAACAAGCCACGCTTTCTTATCAAACCCCTCTCAACTAGGGTTGGACGAGGAGAAGATGCCATGTTCTCCTGTAAGCTGTGGGGAAACCCTAGACCAGAAGTAATGTGGGAGAAGGATGGTAAGAAGTTGAATGAGATCTTTGAGAGCACACATTTCTCCATCAGCTATCAGGATGGAGGGTGGTTCCAGCTGAAAATTTTCAAGACGAGAGCACCAGATGGAGGGGTGTATACGTGTAAGGCCAGGAATGAATTTGGAGAGAGTCTGGCAGGGGCTGTGCTGTTAGTGGATGCTGGACCAGGACATGAAGATGAAGGCAACCGTAATGGATACACTAACGGCCACTGGAAAGCACATCAGGGGAAACAAAGAAGTGGTAGACAAGTTGCGACCAGGCTGAAAGATGACCCATTACCTAATTCAGCCAAAGTAAAAATGTTTGCAGTGACAGAGGGGAAACATGCAAAGTTTCGATGCTATGTAACAGGAAAGCCAAAACCAGAAATATTATGGAGGAAAGATGGGAAACTTATCTTGTCTGGAAGACGGTACCTATTGTATGAAGACAGAGAAGGTTACTTCACACTTAAAGTTCTCTACTGCAAGCAACAGGACAATGGAGTTTATGTCTGTTCTGCTTCAAACACTGCAGGACAAACACTAAGTGCTGTACACCTCATCGTCAAAGGTAAAGTTATCTGAATTGAAATGTGAAACTTGCCGTTCAATACAAAAACAAGACTGGCATACACTTATATAGTCCAATACAATTGTGTTGCTGTCTGATGTGTCAAGCATTTGGTCCCCTAATAAGCAGTAAGTTTTATGATGATTCAGTTGTAGGAAATGCATCAAGGGAGCTTTAAAATGACCTGACAAGGCCAAACTCATTAACATGAAATAGATTCCATCCAGTCCTACAGTATATCTGCAAAGTCGCTTAGGCTTTGAAAGGTCTGAGGCTCACACATGTGATAGAAATCTCTGGAGACAAGCTCAAATTTCTCACATGGACCATCAAACAGTCAAAACTGATTGCTTTGCATGACTATATCGTATCAGAGCCAGGCAACACCAAACATCCTAAAAGGGTTTCAAGTTACCAAGGCTAAACTAAAGGTATGACTTCTGAAGCCAGCATGAAGGCAGAAAACACATAATGGGATTTTATATTGAATCCACAAAGTTTTGTCTATATTCTGTAAACATACAATTATCTGTATTTCTCTAATATATTTACAGTATTTCAAGATCTTTTATACTTTTAAACAAGACAAATACCAATTATTTAGTTTTTTTCAGTATATATAACACAAACTGATTTTTTAGGAAAACAAATTTACCCAAGTAATTTTACAAAACATATTGAGTCAAGTCACAGAAAGCAATATCAACAAAATTGGTATAAATTCCATGCATGAATATCCTGACTGAGACTAGCATATGCTAGCGCTGGTCTTAAAGATTCATAGATATATACACTAGATATCGCATAAGGACCCGAGTATGCATCAATAGCGCTGCCACATTTGTACAGTCCTCCCAGGACAATAGTTATTCAACCACACTAGTCAATACTAAAGCCAATGTAAAGATGCTGGACTTTAGCGCTGTGTATGGGTGGACCAACGGGAAAACTTATGATTATAAGTAACATATGAATAACATATGAATAAGTGTATATATCTCTGGCTCTGGATGGCCAGTCCTCCACTGCACCTTGGTCTCAAATTCGTTTCAAAGGAGCACTACCCTATGCTAAAATGGCAGCTCTATTGATGCATTCTTTCCATTAGACAACAATAGCATAGGCGACATTTAATGTAATTATCTATTTTAAAGGTTAACAAACATAGTCATGTAGACCATAAGCAAAATGCACAGTTGATAGGTATAATAACTCTGGTGATGCTAACTAAGGTTGTTCCATGGTGGGATCACCAGCGTATTAGCATCTAAAATACAACATATGATGGCCATTGTCAACTGGGAAGGTATTTTATATTTTGCAAACATATTTCTTTAAGGATAATTTATCTCTATTCATTACTGACTTTTTTTTTCCTTTGGAATTTTTTTTTTTTTTTTGTAACAACAGAGCCACCTGTTCGATTTAAGCAACCATTGAATGACTTGCAAGTATGGGAAAGGGACTTGGCTGTTCTTGAGTGTGAAGTTCCTGAGGACTCTGTTCCAATCACATGGTACTTAGAAGACAGACGACTGCAGCCTGGAGCCAAATATGGGATGGAAGAGTGGGGGACAAAGCGTCGACTAACAATTCGTGATATTGGAGTTGATGATGATGGGATTTATCTCTGCGAGATGGCTGATGGGGGCAGAAGTATTGCTGAGGTAGCAGTCAAAGGTAAAAAAACCTAAAAACTTCAGCATCTGCCATCACCTGTCAGGGAAAACAATCGCTAAATCGCATTTGCTTCTGTATAATTTAACTGACTTTAACTGCAAACTTGGTCTCTTCAAGGCACAATTGTAAGAAAGCTGCCACGAAAAGTTGACGTTCTGGAGGGGGAAAATGCAGCATTCTGCGTGGAAGTAGAGGAAGAAGAAATGGACATTCATTGGTACAAAGATGGAACAGAGCTGAGAGAGACTCACCAGACCATTCTCAAATCATTTGGAAGAACCCACATTTTGGTCTTTGTAAACACCACACCACAAGACTCTGGTTTGGTCATGTTTTACGTTGGTAGATCAAAAACATCATCTCAGCTACGTGTTAAAGGTAAAAATAAAATGTGTAAAATGTGTTTACAACTATTAATCTCAAACACTTCCAATTCAGAATGTATAGCTAATTTCAATTAACCTCCTCTACCTCTGTGGTAATTTCAGCGGCAAGGCACTGTCCACCAAGCTGTCCTATAGGGGTACAAATAAACACAGAAAGAGCAAATGCAGCTCTTCTTTCCTGGTTTCCAGCACAAGACTCTCGAAAGAATCCACCTTCAGGATATATTATTGAACGACAAGAGGTTGGCTCACAAGAGTGGCTTCAATGTTTGACCACAGACTCTGCAACCTCAGTGGAGATTCTTGGTGACAGTGTTCCATGCGAGGCAGATTACAGATTTCGGATATGCAGTGTCAACAAATATGGAAGAAGTGGAAATGTAGAGTTCCCTCGAGCAGTTCACCTTGGTATGTTTCTTAATGAGGTTGACCATTCAATACATGTCAAGAAAACACTAACAAATTTAATATTCCATGTTTTTAGTTCCAGTTGCAAGAATCCAGGCACCTTTACAAGATGCTTTAGTGCCAGAGGGCCAGGATGCCTGCTTTACCATTGAGCTCTCTGCCTCAGTTATAGGCACTTGGTTCCTAAATGGAAATCAGCTTCAAGACGATGAACGTTTCTCCATAAGGCGTTCACGTACGCACCAGTCCTTACGCATCCGGGGGGTTCGAGACACAGATAATGGAGCAGAGATCACTTTCATTGCTTATGGAATTCGCGATTCTGCTGCTCTGTATATACAAGGTGGAAACTTAACTTTGATTTTCATGCACTTAAGAATCATTTATGAGCACATCATATTACTAATTGTCATGTTATTCTCATATGTCTTACAGCTCCACTTGTAAAGTTCACTCCACTTTCTGAAATGGATCGAAATAAATTTGTAGAGGTTGGCAACCCTATAGTGCTCTACTGTGAGCTGTCAGACCCTGAGGCTCCAGTTCGGTGGTACAAGAATGGTGTTGAACTTCAATCCATGGAAGGTCTGCATATCCAATCAGAAGGAACAATGAGGAGGATTGTCATCCAATCAGCAGAATTCTCCCACTCAGGAGTTTATAGCTGTGATGCTATTGATGACGTCATCAGGTTTAATGTGGAGGTGGAGGGTAAGTCATTTTTGTTCTTATTTGTTATTTCTGCGTGCGTAAATCACTAGAATAAAGGTATTTATTGATAACTTTAATTGCATAGTATTATTCAAAATTATATGAAGAAAGCCTGACAATGCAATGTTGCACTTGCACTTCTCCAAAGTTTACCAAATAATGCTAAATCAAATCACATATAGCCCCACCAGTGAGGTTCTCAGTTGTTCCGGAGGGCAAGAGGAACAAATCAATAGAAGTAGGTACAACGATAGCACTGCAATGTGAGCTCTCAGACCCAGTTGCCCAGGTCTCCTGGTACAAGGATGGTGTGAAACTTCTACCACAAAGTGGAGTAGACTTCAAATCTGTGGGCACAAAGAGGGAACTTGTTGTCCAGTCAGCTGAATTTTACCACTCAGGGGTGTACAGCTGCAAGACAAGAGGTGATGCTGTTCACTTCAGTGTGGATGTTAAAGGTGATTTACATTTTTACTAGTGAAATACATTTTACTTTTTTACTCAACTAACACTGACAAGCCAATGCCAAAGTAAATTAAGACAGCACAGATGTTTTAATATATTTTTTAATTAAATTGAAAAGGTGAGAACTAAAACACTCTAAAATATCCGTAGCCCCACCTGTGAGGTTCTCAGCTGTCCCTGAGGTTAAGCGGAGAAAGTGCATTGAAGCAGGCTGCCCCATTACTCTGCAGTGTGAGATTTCAGACTCTGCTGCACAAGTCCAGTGGTATAAAGATGGGAATCTTGTAGAATCTGGAGTAGACATCAATTCAGATGACTGCATGAGAACTCTCAGTATTCAGTCAGCACACCCATCTCACGCCGGTGTGTACAGCTGCACAACAAAGGATGATGTCCTCGAGTTTCATGTGGAGATAAGAGGTGACTTTGCAATCGTTTTATCCTGACTTACAAATTAACTGTATTGTCTTGCGATTACGCTACTAACAATCACTGCTTTCAGTGTTGCCCTTTTGTCAAATTCTTGTCAAGTATTGTTTCAAGGATTTGTTTTTACTTTTGTTGCACAGTACCTGTCTCAATTTTGTTCTGCTTTTTAAAATGCTTTTGTTTTACAAGTTTAGATTATCTTTCCAGACATGGTCTTGCATTATTTTTATCCGTTAAATGTTATCTTAAAGCAATAGGTCTTTTATTCTGGATAATTTCTTGTCATTCTTGATTCTGACATAAACCATCATCTATAGCTGCACCGGTGAGGTTCTCAGCTGTACCGGAAGCTGGGAAGAATATATGCACCGAAGCTGGTGGCCACTTTGAACTCTGCTGTAAGGTATCAGACCCGGCAGTCCACGTCAGCTGGTTCCACAATGACACACAGCTTCAGCCTGAGACTGGTTTGGATGTTCAGTCAGAGGGAGAAGCAAGGACTCTGATAGTCAATCCAGCTGAGCCAAGACATTCTGGATTGTACCGCTGTGAAACATCAGACGACTCTGTCCAGTTCACTGTGGATATCAAAGGTGATTTGTGACTTTTTGAGAAACCTGTACATCCAGTAACACATTTGCAAAACTAGAAGCAAACTAACAATCAAGCTTTTCTTGTTGTCTGCGTCTTTTAGCATTGCTGTTATGGACATGCCTCTCACCATTGCATCCAACTTATGGGCAGAGATTTGATACAAATGTTACATGTTGTGCATTATTTTATTTAACTTGCTTCTTGGCAGATGGTCTGAGAAATCACACATAGGCAGTCTAGATAACTTTAAAATAAAGGCTATTAATTCTGTATATTCTTTAATAATGAACGGATCATCTTTAGACCCACCGGTGATGTTCTCAGCATTACCAGATACTGTGAAGAACCGGCTGATTGAAGCAGACAACTCCACTGATTTGTATGGTGAGATCTCAGAGCCAAATGCCAAGGTGTGTTGTTACAAGGATGGTGTAGAGCTCGTCTCAAAAAGTCAGCCTCATATCAAATCGGAGTGTACCAGGAGGACGTTAGCTGTCAAGACAGCACAGCCCTCTAAATCTGGATGGTACGACTATGTGAGAACGGGTGATGTCTTCCAGTTTAATGTACAAGACCAAGGTGATTTTTAAATATTTGCTTCTAATCTACTTAATGTTTTTTGTGTGACGACTAACAGCTGTGTGCTCTATGTAGCTTTTTATTCTTCTTTTATTCTGAATGTATTCTGAAAATGTTACTGGGTACATGTCATTGGCTTCATCGGCCATAATTAGTTCTGTCTTTATAAGTATAGAAAATTAGTCATTTACACTGAATAAAGCATTCCTCTGTCAATGGTCACCTGTAGTGTCACCGACCATTTTGGCTGATCCTGAAGTTCAGAAGACCAAATTCGTTGAAGAAATGGAATCCGTTGTTCTACCTTATGAGATCTCAGACCCTGCTCCATATGTCAGCCAGACAAAAGAAGAGAAGGTCATGCTTCCTCAATCAAAACCCGAACCTGAATTAGAATCTAATTCTGATTTTGATCCTGAATCTAAACATGAAGTTCACTTAGATGCATCAAGAGGAGCTTTAATCATCCACTCACCCGAGACATCTCTTGTTAAAGTAAAATGCCCAAAGACACCAGAGGATCCCATCCAGTTTGAAATGGACCAAGGTGGTTTGCCACTTATTTGTACGCCATTCTGTATTTGGAGCACTGTCATGGCTGAAGCAAGTCAGTTATTGTTTTCTTTGTGGCTTTTCTAACAGCAGAGCTGTCTCACTATGAGGTGTTCAGTGGTGAGATCTATGATGACTCTGTCCAGTGCACTTTGGATACAAAAGGTGATATAATGCTACCTCAACTCAAGCATTTAACCCAGTGCCTCTGTGCCACTAACAAGGACGTTTTAATTATCCAGTGGTTCTTCCTGGAGATGTTGGTTCCCTGCATCTTGGTTACCTACCCAAAAAAGCTCCCAAAACTAACCCATGCTATAATGTCTTTATCCAACATCAGTTGGTCTGCAAGTCTTCTAAACTAACTCATTTTGTAGACTCACATGTCTTCATTCTTCATTGAAGCACATTTAATTTCAACTTATACAGTTCACCGTCAACATTTGCTTGAGTCATCTTGTTCATGTGTCATTCAGAATCATCATCACAATTGAGGTGCTTGAAATATAGAGCTCTGAAAAATAGAATGAATGATTGAGTGACTGAAGTTGGTGATCTGACTTCTTGCGTAATCATGTTTTGTTTTTAATGTGTGTTTTAACCACTGTTTGACTTGTTTTTAGACCAATATGTGACATGGTCATCTCTTGTACTTTACAATCTTGAAATACTCTTAAATAACAAGTAAACAAAATTACATCTTGAAAAGCTTTTCTGACTATGAAGACACAAAAGTACTTCAACTTCTCTTTCTGTAAACCACTCAACTATAGAAGAGTTTCCGAGAACACCAGGAACTGAGGCTGAGATTATATCTGAAAAAGAGAACAACAAAATAACAGCAGAAAGATCTGGAGAAAAGATCCAGTGGGAGACTCCAGTGTCAATTCCCACAACTTTCAGGTTGACTAAAGAGGAACCACCGTCATTACCAAAGCTACAGCAACAGCTACAATCACTGGAACAGCCAGGGATACAACCAATGACCCAACCACAGTTGCAGTCAATTCCACAACAACAGCTGCAGCCAATGCTGCAACCACAGATACAACCAATGCTACAACCACAAATACAGCCAATGCTACAACCACAACAACAATCTGTGCCACAATCAGAGCTGCAACCACAGATACAACAAGTTCTACAATCACAACTACAACAAATGCCACAACTAATGCAACAAGCACAAATACAACCAATTCTACAACCACAGCTACATCCACAACTGCAACCAGAGTTCCACCTACAACCACATCTTCAGCAACAACTACAGCTGCAGATAACGAACCAGACAAATACTTCAATTTCTGAAGGCGGCGACTCAAATCCCATCGCAACAGAAGAGAGTGGCATGGATCAAGATGACATAGCTTTTAAGGTGGATGTTGAAGGTGATTTAAATAGTTAGCTCCATCATTCTGCAAGCAATGATGAGAGCAAAATATAAACCATTGACATGTATCACCTAACAACCATTTAATGTCATTCTTCTCTATTTGGAACCATTTACTGAATCTGAAAAACTTCAACTTACAAAGACATAGAAACAAAACAGCCCTGTTCTACAGTGTAACTGCATTTTCTTAAGTACTCCACAATAAAATCCCATCACAAAATATTAACAAAGATCATCAGACTAAAAAATGCTGTTTTTTCATTGAATCTAACTTCTAGCAGAATGCCATTTTGATACAAGCTTAAAAAAGTAATTCTATAAACACGTTAGTAGTCTATTTAGCCTAGGAAACAACATATACAATGTAATGTGTCATAACTGTAATACATGTCTCTTTTCGTATAACCTGAAATATCCCTAGCTTCAAGGACAAATTTTACATCAATTTGTGGAAAGGATGAGAGCTTGCCCATTGTTGCAGACCGTTCCAGTATACTGCTAACTGAGAACTCAGACTACACAACCCAAGAAAAACCTTTAACAGTCCAAATGGATGAGAAAACCATGACTTTCAATAAACCTACAACAAAGAAAGAGATAATCCATTCATCAGAGATGTGTTCAGAAGGAACATATCAGACTGTTACCAAGGACGAATTTCTTGCATGTCAAGAGGACGTGAAAGGTGATTTAAGACTATATATTTAACAGAATTAATGAACAAAAGCAACTAACCATGTCTGGCTTTTGCTTAAATGTTCTGTGCCCTAGTCAATCCAATGTATTCGCACTTACACTCTTGATAGATAACTGACTATAAAACATGCTTTGTCCCCTCAAAACTGAAGAAGTGGGTCATAAAGCAGAATTATTTACACAACCACTTGAAACTGAAGTTGTAAGACCCATTGAAGATGGTTCTCAAGTCCACTGGTACAAGGATGGAATACAATTCTGCTCTGAAAATGAACATGTGGTTGAACAGGAGGAAGATTTACAAAGACTGAACATTCCAGTGACAGACTTGAGTCAATCAAGGGTAGAAAGCTTCAAGACCCAGGACGATGACATAATATTTAAGGTGGATGTCAAAGGTGATTTTAAACTAGTTTAACTCCACACTGCTACATAATCAGTTTTAATCAATCAAGCATTATTAAAAAATTTTTAAATAAACAAAATGATACATTAATGGAGATAATTATACTAAAATAACAATTTAATAAAAAAATATATCGATAAAGTAGCGTATACCCATAAATTTATTGCAGTATAAACAAATATTTCTCACTGCTATGAAGCAAACACAAGCAAACCAAAAAAACTTTCTTGGCATGCATGTTACATGTTAATTATAAAGCTTGTTTATCTGTTTAGGTAAACTTATCTGCTCACATTAAAACATATTAAATTAAACCCCTTAGCTACATCCTTGCAAACTTCAACTATTCGTGAGACTGAATGGAGTGAGTCAAATGATGAAACAGACATTGCTAAATTCCCACAACCTGATGTATCGAGCACAATGGCAGAGGTGTGCTGGTACAAGGAAGTTGAGGAGCTCCCACAATGTGACACAATCACCCAATCTGAGGAGACTATTGGAGCTCTTGTTAAAACAGATGAGCCATCTCACTCTGAAGAAAGCGCTTCTGAGACAGATGATGTCCCAGTCCAGTTTGCAGTGGACCTACCAGGTGATTCATCAGTCATCTACGCCAGCTCAATCCATCCGATTACCAAACTAACCACTTCAATCATGCAATTGTCACTAACTCTGTTGTATCTGTTGTTTAGATAAATGCCAGACTAATAGGGGCTAATGTCAACACTGAGGAACATTACAGTAGATATATTCTTATTTAAGATAAGGTTTTTCATTGACCTTTCCCTTTTGTACTTTAAAGTTCAAAATTATTTTTAAAACAGTACCTGGACAACTGGCATTAACAGTCTAAAGAATGTTCAAGTAACCATTTTACAGCAATTGTTAACTTCGATTATCTTGTTGCACATTTATTACAACTACAACTAATATTATAATTTTTTTAAGTGATAGGAAATCACATCACTAACAAACCTGGCAACTAAATTAAATTTACGTATGTTTGTCTGATATTCGTTGTTCATGTTTTTTGTCTGTTAAATATCTGTGATTTTTTTTTTTATGTTGTCCATTACTCTTGCGCTACTAATATTTCATCTTATATTCTCATGTCTGAGTATGTTTATTTTTGGCTTTGTTATATGGTTATATTGACCATTACAGTTAACTTCCGGTACACTCTTAAACCATTTAATGTCCAAATGGACTCTTTGGTAAAATACTAAATGTCTGTCAATATTTTGTCCCATTCTTGAGGATGAAGTTTTAAGAATAACTAAAAATTGACAATATGCATGTTTCATAAATCGACATAAGTAAATGTGTTTGTACAAAATTGTGTGTAGCTCCACCTGTGATGTTCTCCACGATCGATGAGGTTCAACGGAATAAATGCATTGAGTCAGGACGACCCTTTAAACTGCAATGTGAAGTCTCAGATCCTGACGCGCAAGTCTGGTGGTACAAAGATGGAAATGAGGTGCTTCCTCAAGATGGTATTGTCATTGGGTCTGAGGAAGGGATAAGAACACTCTCTGTGCAAGCTGCTGAATTATGTCACAGCGGAACATACAGATGCCAGATGAATGATGATGCCATCACATTCCATGTGGAAATCAAAGGTGATTAGATTTTTATTTTTCACGAAGACACCACTTGAGATGTGTTTAAATCTCCTTGCTAACCATATATTGTGGTTATTCAAATGTAGACCACAAATATTTGATTCTTTATTCTTCTAAAGCTGCTTGGCATGTTAACTTACCATCAAACATGCACATAATAGCCAGTCATTGTCAAATAAATCAATAAGGTTCCTTCTCTATGCCATTCACGACTCTGTAGCTCCATCACTGAAGTTCATTCCAATTTCAGAAGTGGAGAAGAACAAGTCCACCGAAGTAGACTCACCAATTGTTCTGAAATGTGAGCTATCAGATGCAACCTCTGAGGTGCTCTGGTGCAAAGATGGTAGAGAGCTGGCCCCAAACCCTGAGCTCAATTTCCAAAAAGATGAAAATACACGGAAAATAAAAGTTGAATCAGCAAAACTGTCTGATACTGGAAACTACACCTGTCATGTTCAAGGTGATACCGTATCATTCAAGGTGGATGACCAAGGTGATTTTCACAACACTATTATAATTATCAGATAATACAATTTTTAATCTGCAGTGTATTGTTTTATGACCCTTATAAATTTCTTTCATTTCTAATAGCTCCTTTTAAAAGGTTACTTCTCTATAACAATTATTACCACTCATTGAAACCCTTCTTCTCTCCCCTCTTGGTACCTGAGCAAATACTCCCACTAATATATTTGTAGATTAATCTTACTTGTGTTTATTTTTTGTTTGTTTGTTTTTGTTTACAAATTAATGTCAATAATTTCCAGCGCTTTTTAACACTTTCCAAATTTTCATAGCTCATCCTGTTAGGTTCTCAGCACTCCCAGAAATTGCAAGAAACAAGTTTATTGAAGCAGGTTGTCCCATTATACTTCAATGTGAAATCTCAGACCCTACTGCCCAAGTTTCCTGGCTCAAAGATGGAGTCGAACTCCAACAACAGAGTGGACTTGACATCCAATCAGAGGGCACTATGAGGAAAATGATCATCCATTCAGCTGAGCTCAAACACTCAGGCGTGTACAGCTGTGAGGCTGTGGATGATCTCATAGCATTCAAGGTGGATGTTGCAGGTGATTTTGAGTCTACATACTTTTTCTCAAAACCACTAACAATGTGTCAAATAACGCTTCATCCACTAAATGCTGTTTGCCCTAATCATATTTTAACAAAGTAAACATCCATACCCAAATAATCAAAGCCCCATTCCTTTAAACATTATTTTAATTTCCTCACCATTTCTGCTGACACAATAACAGTAAAAAAAGACAGGTTTCTTTCAAATTACTTATAACTATACAATATCACTGTATTGTATAGATTACACTATATCACCTAATTTAAGCATACTCATTAATGTTCAGAAGTGTATACTTCAGAACAACAGCATTGAATGACAAGAAATATTTTTTTGTATTACACACAGAATCCGTAGTGTCTCATTCATTAGTCTTAAGTAAATTTTAATCTTTCTTTAATCTTTTAATATTTCATTATTTTTCATAATCTATTTGGACATATTAGAAATACTTTTTTGGGTAATTCTTTGAATTTTGACTGAACAAAAAATCCTCTTAGCTCCACCAGTGATGTTCTCAGCTGTTCCTGAGATTGAGAAGAACAAGTGCATTGAAGCAGGCGGGCCAATCATTCTCCAATGTGAGATATCTTATCCAACAGCCCTGGTCCAATGGTACAAGGATGGATTACGGCTTCTACCTCAATCAGGGGTTTACATCCAATCACAGCACACGATGAGGACACTGGTTATCCAATCGGCAAATGTATCCCACTCTGGGTTTTACAGTTGTAATTCTGCTGATGATATCAGCGAATTTTTTGTGGAAGTTAAAGGTGACATATAAACCTTATCCAACGTATTATGTTATATAACTAACAAATACATCACTTTGTAGAGTTCAGTTTCCATTGGGTGAAAGCATTCTTCTCTACCTTTCGACAGATCCATTCTGCTGCTTTTATGGGCTCCTTAACCATTTCCCTAATGCAGGAACATTTTTGAAGCTTTACAAGTTTGTGTGCAATTTTTCACCAATTACTGCCATCCTTAAATGCTATTTAACCAGCATCTTGGTTCTCTTTCTTGTTGAAGAAACCATTCACGCTGGGCAAGCATGCCTTGTAACCAATATAATCTGTGCTTAACAGCACTTCATTCTCATTAAGCTTTTATTAACTGTATTCTCATGTACTTTTATTTCATTTGGCTTTTAGAGTGGAGAGAGTTCTACAGGCTGCCCAAGCAATCTTCATCAGAGCTTGAACTGCATGCTTAACGTGTCACTTTTGTGTAGCAGAGTGAAAGCAGCGTAACAAAAATAAAAAAAGAGATAATTTCCTTCTCATTGCAGCACCTCCGGTAACATTTGCCTACATACCAGAAGATGATCTGCACAGAAATATTGTGGAACAAGACAATATACTCCTTCATTGTCAAGTGTCTAGGTCAGATGCTACTGCACAATGGTATAAGGATGGAGTAGAGCTTAAATCCACTAGCAACGTCCTCATTGAGGTGGAAAACGACATTCGAAGGCTGATCATACTCTCAGCTCATCTCTCAGATTCTGGGACATATACCTGTCGTGCTGGAGATAGTGCTTTAGTATTTAAAGTTAACGTAAGAGGTGAGTATAGACACGCTCACAACACAACAAATCTGATAAAATTACATTTACAAGGTTTAATTTATTTTGCTTTACAGAACCTCCAGTTATGATTGTATATCCCAAGGAAGATGTACACCTTGATCGCCATGTTCCTGAAGAAATTGTTCTCAGCTGTGAACTTTCACGACCAAACGGAAAGGTGACATGGTTCAAGGATGGACAGAAACTACAAGAGAGTGAAAACATCAAGCTTAAGACAGAAGGTCCATACAGACGGCTAAAAATTCTGCACAGTGGTATTGAGGACTCTGGAGAATATGTCTGTGACACAGCTGATGATTCTATATTTTTCAATCTGAACATAAAAGGTATTGAATTCAGATCGATGGCATATTGCATGATGAAAAATAATTAATAATAATAATTCATTTTATTTGTAAATAGCGCATTTCTAGACACCCAAGGTTGCCTTACAATAAGCATCAACAGCCATGCTAGGACAAATTAAAACCAATAATAAAACATTACCAAACAAGCATTGACCAAACAAGTATAAATACACATTGTGAATATGAAATAACCTGATTTAAAAAAATGCTAAAAAAAATAGTTAAATGAAAACCTGCTTAAAAAATGGGTCTTTAGACGAAATGTCAAGACTATCACTGCTCCTTAGATCAAAGGGAAGCAAGTTCCTTCGTAGCCATAGAGCTAAAAGATGTCTCGCATTGTGCTTAATCGAGTGCGAGATGGTACCAGGGAGAAAAAGCTGGCTGATCCAAGAGTGCAAAAAGGAATATAAATATAAGTTCAGTGTTGAGGAGCAAGATTAAGAAGTGCCTTGAAAGATAGAAGTAATATTTTAAAATCAACTGGAAACCAGTGAAGCTGATAAAGAAGCGGTGTGACATGCTCGAGAGATCCTAGAGATGACACGAGCTGCATGGTTCTGAATCAGTTGGAGTTTATGGAGAAGTTTAGAAGGAAGCCCAGTAGAAGTGCATTACAGTAGTGAAGTAAGTGATATTATGCAAGTGGAAATATGCAGTATGCGTAATATTATTGATGTGACCTTCAAATGAGAGTGTGCTATCAAAGATGACACCCAAACTCTACCTGCACAGAAGGAAGAATTGTGCTATTATCAATATCCACTGTGAAATTATCAGCTTTATCCAAAACACTTTTAGTCCCAATGAGAAAGGCTTCAGTTTTGTCGCTATTTAATTTTAAAAAGTAAAAAATAAAGATTTGTGACTAGACCTAAAAAATAGTATTTAGGATTACAAAGCCACTTTACATTAGAAAACCATGCACAAAGATTTGCATGAATTATGTGCAATAAATGGAAGGAATATGCTTTAAGAATGTAAATCAGGCAACACTGATGTTGACTTTTATGGTATGTCTCCCTATAGAACCACCGGTACGTATAGTTTCTCCAAGTCAGTCCCAAATGGAACTTTGCCAGCAGACCTCTGAAAGGATGGTCCTGAGCTGTGAAATCTCTAGACCTAATGCCACTGTACGCTGGTATCGAGATGGTCTTGAAGTGGAAGAGAGTGACAGCCTAATTCTGGAAGTTGATGGTGTCTATAGGAGACTTATCATCCCAAAACCTACCGTCAAGGACTCTGCAGAATATGTATGTGACACCACTGATGACTCGGTGACCTTCTTTGTAAATATTGCAGGTGTGTCAAAGACTCTGTTTAAACATTCATCTAAAAAAATATTTCTGGGTTCTCAATTTCACTGACAATTTATTTGTGCAGAGCCACCAGTCAGATTTATTCGGCCAAGGAAAATGGCCTATGGAGTAGAGAAACTTGTTGGTGAGATTGTGGTCCTTGAGTGTGAAGTGTGTCGACCAAATGCTGAAGTTAGCTGGAAGAAGGATGGAGATGAGATTGAGGAGAATAGCAACGTAACTATCACAGAGGACGGCACAAATCGTCAGTTAACCATTCACTCCGCAGACTTTGAGGATGCAGGGCAATATGTCTGTGATGCCAGAGATGATGTCATGGATTTTTTAGTAAAAATCAAAGGTACAATTAAATGATAAGTAGATTGAAATTGTTTTGTTGAACCCATTACTACAACCAGTTAAAATTCAAGCCTCTTTCTTCCAGATCCACCACTGAAAATTCTGCGGAAAGCTGACATAGAAACAAAACGCCAGTTTATGGTATCTGATGCCATTGTGTTAAAATGTGAGATCTCAAGAGCAAATGGCGTGGTCAATTGGCTAAAAGACAATGAGAAGATTGATGGAAATGAGCATTTCACCTGTGAAGAAGAAGGGGCATTCAGATCTCTGATTGTCCTAAATGCTGAGTTGAGAGACTCCGGAGAGTACATTTGCGATGCACAAGATGACAAAGTTGTCTTCAGTGTTACTGTAGAAGGTACTACTATTTAAAAGTCAATGTACACAGTGAAAAACATGTTTGCACTTGTCTAACTAATGCTTGTCATTGGAAGTACTTTTAAAAGTACACTGTCCTAAAAACAACTACAGTATATACCCATTTATAGAACAATTAGGTATAGATAAAGTATAACTTTGCAGACATCCCAAGTTGGGTAAAGTAATTCCCGGGGGAGACAGAGTTGATTTGCGGGAGAGTGGGGGTTTGTGGGGGGTGATGGTGAGTGACGTATCTGAATGGGGGCATGTGCGTGGGACGTACCTGAAGAGCGGTGGGGGTGAGTTGCGCGCGATGTAGCTGAAGAGCTGGGAGGGACGCGATGGAGAGGGGTGTGCGACGTATTTAAGGACTGGGTGGGAGACGCACGATTTTCGGGAGATTATCATTCATTTGCGGGCATCCGTGAGTCTATATGCATTTGCGGGATACTCCCGGAACTTCCAGGAGACCTGGGATGTCTGACTGTGTCCATGTAAGAAATGTACCTTTGAATATACTACTTTAGGGACAAGCTGTTGCACTATTAAATACTATTTTTGCACTGTCTTTACTGATAGTATGGAAAAATAATTTATTCTTTTTGCTCAGAAGCTCCAGTGTCCATTGTTGGAAATACACAGAAGCCAAAACACTGCATATTACTGACAGGAGATGAGCTTTCCCTTGAGTGTGAGGTGTCTCGAGTAAATGCTGTTGTCCAGTGGTACTGCAATGGACGTTTACTAAAGCAGGATTCACGCACACACATTGAAAGCAGTGACACAATGAGGAAGCTTGTGATATCTGGACTTCAGACATCTGACTCTGGGGAGTATCTCTGTGATGCAACTGATGACAAAATGATAACCATGCTAACAGTTCAAGGTAAATTGATGAGCAGGATAGCAAATAAATACTATTTCACTTGTAGTAATTGACATATTATGTGTAAATATCAATTATTTCCATAGATCTTCCCTTCAAATTTATCAAAAAAGATGAAAAAACAAACATTTCAGCCTATGAAGAAGACAGTTTGACACTACGTGCCACAGTCAACAGAGTCAACGCCCCAATTAAATGGCAGAGAGGTCGTGATTTAATCAGAGGCGATCGGTTCAACACAACAAGTGATGGAAACACCCACTACCTTACCATTAACCCACTCAAGAGAGGGGATAGTGGTGAGTATACATGTCACTTGGGAACTGACGAGATGCACTTCAGTGTCCACGTCAAAGGTAAGACCAGAGAAAACACAAATACATATTTTACAATTGCACAAATATCTATCTGCAGTAATAAGTTGATAGCTTGTACAGGGTTGTATTACAATGTTGTCTATATTGTTTATGAATCAGCAATGAAGGTGAAATTCTCCAAGCCACTGGAAAACATAGCGGGACTCAAAGGTAGCAATGTGGTTTTAAAATGTGAACTGTACAAGTCAAAAGGAGATGTTCAGTGGCTGAAAGATAGTCAAGAGATTGCAGCAAGCAGACATTTCACGATCAGAGCTGAGGGTCGAGTGAGAAGTTTGACAATACATAACATCACAGAAGATGATGCAGGAGAATATGCTTGTGAATCCAAAGATGAAAGGACATCAGCTACTGTAATGGTCAATAGTAAGTTAAAGGTTACCAAAGGACATGTCAAGTTGCGTAAGTTTATCCTGAAATTAATCATATTAATTTAACACCATCTTCCTTTTATATTTCAAGTACCTCGTATTGTGGAGTTTGTTGCAGAGCTACACAACATGACTGTAATGGAAGGAGAAGACGCAACATTTAAGTGTGTGGTGTCTCCAGAGGATGCGAAGCTATCCTGGTTTAAGAATGGCCAACATATTTCATCAAATGAGAAGTTCAACATCTCCAGCAACGGATTATGCCATATGCTGCATATCAAAAACTGTCAAGTCTCAGATAGCTGCTCATTGACAGCTGAGGCTGAAGGTGTGATTTCCAGAGCTCTCCTTCAGGTCCAAGGTAGAACATAATTCATCATTATTTCACAGCCTTACTTGATTTTCATTTCCTTACAAATTAATTCAGTTAGCTTTAGGGGGGGTCATAAAAAACATTTTCTACAAAATGGTACTTGCACAGGTCTTTAATGCCATGTCAACATGTTTGAGTTTAATAATGACCCTTTCAGGCATGCCTGAATTGTTGAAAAGGTGCTTATGATGGCTTGTGCTTAACAGCTTCTCCAGTTAGAATTCCACTCTTAACTGACAGAGGCAAGTGTTACTACAGCACATAGCAATGTAGAACAGGGAGTTACACTCCAAGCATTAGCTATGTGTCTATCCAAGAACGTGAATTAGACTAAATGCAAAACTGGAGTATTCATCTATTGAATTGAAGAGAACTTTCTGATAAACTGGCACTAAACATAGCACTTGGAATTTGCAACATATGGAATTTGCTGCAGTAGGAGATGCCATGGTGGGCATTTTATTCTTTTCTAAAAAAAATTACTTGTGCTTCAGAAGACAAAATGCAATGTTTTTGGAAGCGTGAGGCCACTTAAAGATGCAGTATGTAAGTTTGACACCCAGTGGTTGAACTAGGTATTGCACTCCTGGATCAAAACAAATGCAAGGCGCTGGTTGCTAGATTGAGGACTGAGGGTCATTTAAACCATGTTCTATATAAAAGCAACTGCACCTGATAGAAGCAATATTTTCCATATTAAAAGGAATTTTTGTCATAACCAACACCTTGAATTGATATATTAGAATAATATATTTAATAATAGGTGATGCAGTGGCGCAGTGGATAGCACGTTCGCCTCACAGCAAGACGGTGGCTGGGTCACTGGTTCGATCCTCGGCTCAGTTGGCATTGTGTGGAGTTGTGTGGCATCTGTGTGGAGTTTACATGTTCTCCCTGCGTTCGCGTGGGTTTCCTCCGAGTACTTTGGTTTCCCCTACAGTCCAAAGACATGCAGTACAGGTGAATTGGGTAGGCTAAATTGTCCGTAGTGTGTGTGTATGTGTGGATGTTTCCCAGAGATGGGTTGCGGCTGGAAGGACATCCGCTGCGTAAAAACTTGCTGGATAAATTGGCGGTTCATTACGCTGTGGCGACCCCAGATTAATAAAGGGACTAAGCCGACAAGAAAATGAATGAATGAATATTTAACAACAGAAAACTATGACAATGATCACCTCAGGTACAGCTCATGTGCTTTATTCAGTGTTAAATGCTAACAATGCGAGTTTGAATGCCATTTTAAATGACTTTTATAGCCATGTACTAAAAGCAGCAGCAGATAGTTTACCTCGGATCTTGAAAATAAAATAAACGATTTGAAATTGAACTTTAGAACTATAGACATGGGTGATTCAGCATCTATATTTAATAATGTTAAAGAGGTTTAATATTAAATAGATTATAAACCTTACCATTTCATGAGTAAGTGCATTTTCTGTGCTTCTGAATGGCTATATCTAAATTTCTGTCGTGTTTCGTCTGGTGCAAACAGCCAAATTGCTTATCACTGCATATCTCGTCATGAAGTGTGTTGTTAGGACCAGCGGTTACAATGTATCCTGCTCATCTAATGTTAAATTTGTAATATTTATAGCATTTGCTAATTAATAACCTAATGTGGAACTAAATCTGTCCCATTTCGGAGTCTGCTACTGTCCACCGGAGGTCGCATTTTGGTCACGGACGCATGCTTTGAGAGCCTTTCTGAATGAATTAATGGAATACGTAGTTTTTCACCAAGGCAACCCCCGGTGCTAAATATAATTGGCTAAACTGGCATTGGGTGGGTTAAAAAAACAAAAAACAAAGACAGCATTCCGGCACGGAAAACACATTTTCAAAGCAGAAAAACTGACTTCAGCATTCTTTGTCAGATAAACAAGAATGTTCACTTGGCACGTTTCCTAAGTTTCTGAAACATATTGCAGTATTTTTAATGCTTTAGAAGAGTTAAAAACTTACATACAGCACCTTTAAGACAGTTTTGGGAGGCTATAATACCAAAACATTTTGATGACAGACTTTGGCTAAGGGATTTAAAATGACCAAAACAACATTTCAGATATTGTGCAATGTAGTCTGCGTGTTTGTCTATTAATGCCATTCCATCACACTATATTTCATCAAATCACATTGCTTTTTTAACGTTCATTCTGGAATTTATTTGGCAAATGTTATTCTTATCGGAAAAAAAGTTTTATTTTAATCAGTTATGCACAAAAGCTTTTAAAACAGATTTTCAAATTTATGCTAATCTTGCCATTTCCAATAACCATTTTTAGGCAATATTCCAACATTTGCATAAAAATAGGTGAATGGAAACATGGCTATTGACTTTTGCTTTTTGGTTGTCAAATATAAATAGCTTTAAAAAGCGTTAAAACAGCTATCCGCTTGTTAAGTGTGATGTCATGTGAAGCGGTTTCCAGGTCTAAGCGCTATATCAAACTGAATAGGAAGACTCAAACAGTAATAAACATTTCCAAAGCGATGTAATACTTTCGAAAATCTTGATCGCAATATTTATATCCATGCCTAATATCCGATGACCAGAAAGTGATTTTTAGAAATTGTGAAAATAATGGTGTCTGTGACTGCAGTAGGTCCAGAGACTGTTGTGTACACCATGATTTTACATAAAATTTACTCTAATGTGTCATATGACTGAAAAGTGGTCATAAATGAATATTTTCTCAATGAGTAGTGGCTTGCACCCAGAAACAGTATTCCATATGCACCACAAGATTTTACCTAATAACCTCTTCTAATTCAGAGGCACAGGTGCTGTTCACAAAGAGCATGGACCCAGTGGTTGCAGAGGAGTTTGGAGAGGCAACACTTGAGGTGGAGGTCAGCACAGAGACTGCAGAGGTCCAGTGGATGAGACAAGGAGTGGTTATTCATCCAGGGTCCAAATTCACCTTAAGGCAGAGTGGTCGAAAACGTTCTCTCACAATTCACAAACTAACCCTTTTAGACCGAGGAACGTACAGCTGTGAAACACTTCATGATCGCACACAAGCCAAGCTCAGTGTGGAACGTGAGTCTACATTTGCCGCTATATTTCTCACTATGTGCTTTGTTAGAGTTTCTTTACAGTGACGGCCCATTAATGCAGCCCGTAGCAATGTTGTTGTCCCAAACAAACTGAATCAAGTGACCATGAGTAATGCGAGCAAGAGGCAAGCTACTTTAGTGACACTCACTCCATGGTTTGACGACAGCAAACAGGTGACTCACAGACTATTTACTGAGTCTCTGGGCACAGCTTTCTGTATTGACATTAGATCAGAAGAGCTATGATAATTCAATTAAGCATGTCAAATGAGAACTGGATCATAAGCTGGTGGAAGGTCCTTGCTGGGTAACCTTTTAATTCCTTTTAGTTGCCTGCGAAACACAGATATGAGGGGAGATAAAAGTTATGTGTGGCTGTACTCATAACAAATTTCATTTGCCTTTGATATATCAGCCCTTCCTCATCAAACTAGATTTTCAGTCAATCAATCCCCTAACATAACTTCCTATGATAAAATTAATACGCACTTTAGAAAGCAAGCAATTAATTACCAGTAATACACTGCTTTCAGGATAGCTCAAGACGATGAAGCCGTGGTGTATAAATGAGCAAGTGATGAGAGAAAGTCTGTGCTTTGGCTGTTCCTGGCACCAACTATGAATATGGATCTGTTTTCATTGCAGCTAAATTTATGCCCTGGCCTTCAAAATCTAGGGTGGTGTCACCAACTCTCTAAAATAAACCCCTCTTTTCCACGGGGAATGCCTGTCTGTCTGTGTCGAAATACATAAAAAAAGTTGGCACAGAGCTGATCGAAGGCAGGATTTATTGTATTGCTAATACCAAACAGACAAAACCGAGTCAACTAATTCAACAACTGTTGTATGTTGTTGTCTTGCTTTAATTTTTCTCTTTCTTTTCTATGCAATTCTGATATTTCTTGATTCATCACCACAATAGTTTTATTTATTTTGTTGCTGTTTTTTTGTTTTTTTTTGTTTACTTATTGACCTGTGCTTGTATTGCAGCACGAAAAATCAAGATTCGGAAAGGTCTTACTGACATCCAGACTATCGAACGAGAGACAGCTTCCTTTGAGGTGGAGCTGTCACACAGCAATGTTGAAGGAGTATGGCAAAAGGATGGGCATGTCCTCAAAACCAACAACCGCTTACGTATGACTGCACAAGGACGGGTACACAGTCTTACCATCTCCGGCTTGACCTTGGATGACACTGGCACATATATATTCTCTGTTGATAACGTCAGGTCATTAGCAAGACTGGATGTTAAAGGTACTGTTATCTATTTAATAGACTTTACAACAATGTATTATAAAATCAGTCCAACCATAATAGTTTTAAATAGGTTATTTTTACAATATAAAATATATTTTTCTAAATGTTTTTAAAACAATTTGCATATAGACCATGGTGTCCAAATGACCTTTGCTTACACAGATCCAAACACTAGTATTGTTTTCAAAAACTTTATATAGATTCACATATCAAACTTTATATATAGCCCATTTTCTAATGATTGCATTTTGAGGCCACCGAAATTCTTTAGGGTCACACTATATTTTGATGGTAACCATTTGTTGAATTTATGTTACACTGCATGTACATGCCAACTAATTCTCATTAGATTATAAGTAGACTGTTAGGTTGGGGTTAGGGTTGACGTTCTTGCAAAGTTTCTTATAGTCAGTTAAATGTCTGTTGAAGAAGCATATCAGCAGATATTAAGCAGACAGTTTACTAATATTCAAACGGACCATCAAAATAAAGTGTTACCTTCTTTAGCTGTAAACATATGAACAAAACCTATAAAAAGTTATGTGGTTTTAGTTCAGTCATGTAAATACACAACGGTTTGTTTTTGAGAAATTGATTTAGTATCAATTCTGAGATTTTCTAAATGCCTTTTTATTCTCTCTTGGATTGATTCTAAGCTTTTAAACAGCAGATGGCACACTAGAGTAGTTTTTAACTATATATTCAATCGCTTATGAGGAACAGCACTTGAGCATTCAACTGAGTAAAGTTGGCTTTTATGTCACAAGATCAATGTAAACTGCTCACTATGAACACTCTTGTAATTGCTTAAACCTTTCCTAACTTTATTACTGATCATGCTCGCCGTAGCTGAAGTTAAAGTGCAGGAAAGTATTGGAAATCCTCTGACAAATCTTAATTGAAGAGAAAATATGTTCGCAACAGCTATTAATCAACTGTCAGTGAACATCTTAAACCAATGATCAAAGACCACAGGTTTTAGCCTATAAGATTCCAGTAATCTTTTGGGATTTGCTAAAATTGTCTCTCATGACCAAATTGCGACTGAAATCGCAGTGTAAGCAGAACTTGATCAATAAGTCATAGACAGAACGTTTTCCAACTAGCCTAAAATGCACAGATTTTTGCCACAACTCAAAAAAATACTTTAAATTACCTGAAAGACTTTCAAAACCCCTGGTATATACATTAACAATTAAAGGTCAGGCAAATACATTTTTGTGTCATTATGCCATACCAGATTGCCTGCATTCATATATCTTTTGTTTCTTAATTCCCTTGGCAACACTTAACTTATAAGGGGTGGAATCTGTTCACGAGAGGTAAGAGGGTCCAGAGCAATGATGTAAGTCTTCAAACTGGTTAAACTTCAGATGCTGATGACAGTACAATGGCATGGACAGACAGCTTTGCTACTGCTCTTACCATGTATCAGGTTACACATATAAAAAGATAGGGATCACATGATCAGACTCCAGCTACCGAAGCATTTTAAACATTCACAAGCATAAGGTGCTGGTGTAAGGTAATCTATTCTATGCCAAGTCACTCAATAGGGCTTATCCTTTGGAGTCACAGAGGATGACAATAACATGTAAATGCCACTACAACAAAGGACTCAACAAAAGTCCTCTAGGCACAAAGCTGGGGTATGGTTAAACAATAATCTCCTGTTGTACCAAACAGATTGGCATGTACGCAGTTTGATTCATGATCATAAAAGTCAAATGAGGGCAAGCAGAGGTAAATTATTTTTAAAAAGTAAGGACTTGTTTTGAAGGTCACTGCCTTTCAGTGCACTAATTGCACAGCAAGTGTTTTTCAGCCACTGATAAACTTTTGGTGAATGGTTAATGTGGCTGTTTTCAATCCCATAAGGTTCCTTTTACAGCATCGATATTATAATTTAATTAAAATATGATCATTTTAATAAACTTAAGCATTCATTTAGTTGTTAAAGCGTAAAACAAAATGAACTGTTCCACAATGTCATTAAAAATACTGTGATAAAATAAATTACAATAAAAAAAAAACATGGAGTGGAACAATGGAATTTAATTCAATGCATCTTGTCTGGTCTGAGACCCACTTTATATTGTGTATCAATCAGGCAGTTAAGATTTTTAAAGAAACCAGATTTAAATCAGGTCTTAAAATGTCTTAAATTCATTTTCTTTTCGGCTTAGTCCCTTTATTAATCCGGGGTCGCCACAGCGGAATGAACCCCTAACTTATCCAGCTTATTTTTTTAACCAGCGGATGCCCTTTTAGCCAAAACCCATCCCTGGGAAAAAGTCTCACAACGAAATTTTACACTTTAAAAAGTCTTAAATTCACTGAAATATTGTGTTGTACAGTAGGTCTTAAATCATTTTAAACAGGTCTTCATTTTTCTTTGCCCAAGTAAAGCTCAGTCGGGCTGACATCCAACCAATGACCAACAATAAATCTCAATAAAACCTTTTTTTGTTATTCAAGTTCTGTTGCAGAAAGATACAACTCACGGCAGCTGTTAGACTTTTTTTTTTCAGCAATTCCTCCAATTAAGTTGGACAGGTCACCGGATGTGCTAGGGATGGCTTACTGAAAATTAAATGTCCTTACGCATATACTCCATTGTGATCAAAATGGTTGTTTTTCTTTCAAATGTAGTCAATTTGACAATTCAGCTTTTCTTTACTCAACCATAAGTGTATATCTAACAGTGGTGGAAAGAGTACTAAAAAATCATACTTAAGTAAAAGTACCATTACGTAAAAATGTATTGCAAGTAGAGTAAAAGTATATGTTGTAAATATTAGTCAAAGTATAAGTAAAAAGTAGCCCTTTCAAAAGTACTCAAAGAGTAGTGAGTATTATGTGAAAAGCTGATGCATACAGTTAAAGTCAGTATTATTAGCCCCCCTGAATTATTACTCCCCCTGTTTATTTTACCCCAATTCCTGTTTAACGTAGAGTGTTTTTTAACACATGTATAAACATATTAATTTAATAACTCATTTCTAATAACTGTTTTCTTTAATCTTTGCCATGATGACAGTAAATAATATTTGACTAGATAATTTCAAGACACTTCTATACAGCTTAAAGCAACATTTAAAGGCTTAACTAGGTAATTTAGGTTAACTAGGCAGGTTAGGGTAATTAGGCAATCTATTGTATAAAGATGGTTTGTTCTGGAGACTATTGAAAAATATATACCTGTAATAGGCTAATAATTTTGACCTTAAAATGGTGTTTAAAAAAATAATAACTGCTTATATTCTAACCAAAATAAAACAGGACTTTCTTTAAAAAAATATATTATCAGACATACAGTGAAAATTTTCTTGCTCTGTTAAACATGATTTGGGAAAAACTTAACAAAGAAAAAAAATTCAAAGGGATTTGTGAATGTGTGTAATCGTATCATTCTATAGTGCATTTGGTGACTGCCCAGCAGGCACACAATGTCATAAGACTTTAATATTAGGTTAGATTTAGGTCGTGATCAGGTGACCAAAATTCAAGGTCTAGCCAGCGTCTAAGGACGTTATTTTAATAACGACGTCTAATGACGTTAATATTTATTTGTTTTTGAAAAGAAAGCCAAAATCCAACAGAGACAACATCTTAAACCAACATCATATTGATGTCAATACTGACATTTTTTAATAAGGCATGGCAAATCCGGCATCTGATAGACGTGATAGTAGTAACGTCCACACAACGTTAAGCTGTAACATCATTAGATGTTGATATTTGGTTGATTTTAGGTAGATCGTTGGACATTGACGCCGGCTTGAAGTTGAGCTCTGACGTCAACCCGGTTTTCGTTTACAAACAATATGCAAGGTCCCCATGATGTTGGGGTACAATGTCATCTTGACATCATGTTGACATCCCGTGCCTGCTGGGTGTTTAAGGCCATTTCGGCCATCATACAGTAAACATCTGTCATCTTCTCATCTTCTCATCAGTGACATGCATCTAAACAGTCTCAGGGTCTGAAGGTTGAAAGAAAGTAGTGGAGAAAAAGTACTGATAAAGCACTAAAAATGTACTCAAGGGAAAGTAAAATTTTTTACATTTTTTATTATACATTTTACTACTTAGCAAATTACAAGTCCTGTGAAAAACTACTTAGTTACAGTAACTTGAGTATTTGTAATTTGTTACTTTACATCACGGATATTTAACCTGTTAAAAGCTGTTTTTGCATAGACTGACAAGACTTCTTTTTTTCTCAGAAATCCCAGTTTCAATCCTGAAAAAGCTTGATGATATCAGACAACCAGAGGGATCTGGGGTAACCCTTGAATGCGAGTTATCACGCCACAACATAGACATAAAATGGACAAAGGTAATATTATATTCCTGCACCCTAGTTACATTGTATTGAATTCATACAATTTTACATTCATATAAAAGTCACAAACCAATTCCTAATTATTATTTAAATTGGATGATTTAAAAAAATAAAAATAAAAATAAAAAAATAAAAGAGATGTCTTTACTTTCAGAATGGAGTTCAGCTTAAACCAGGCAAAAACCATCGCATTTACTCAATGGGAAGAAAGTGCTTCCTACAAATACTGAAGTGTGAGCTGGGAGACTCTGGATTATATGTGTGTGATGCTGGGGATGCCACAACATCATGTTCGGTGGATATCTATGGTAAAAGATTAAATGTCTGTTATAACTACATTTATCTGCATACATTACATTTGGTACTTTTTAATGAAATACTTTATTTAAACAGTTACTTTATAAAACAATTTGAATCCCCTGCTAAAATGATTAAATCCAAGAACAACACTGCCATCTATTGGTTTAACAGACAATTCTAAAAATAGGAAGCAATATCATTTGCAATGTTTTAACAGATTAAATTATATATTAGAGTATACTTAACAATATGGGTCACACATGTATTGTTATTATGAATAAATCACATGTTTTTTAATATAATACAATATTTAAATGGTTTAAATGTAGTCAAGGATAGGCATGGGAAAATAATCGTTTTCAAGGTATACTGTGGTTTGGAAAAAAATAAAGGTTTTAAAATCACCAAAATGTTCTACTATACCATTCCTAAGGTATAAGTAAGATTTCCTAATCGTTTATTTTTTGTTTTGTAGGTCAACAGTATCTCCAGCAGAAAAGATACCTAAATATGCTGTTTTAAATTGTAAAGAAATTTGTGTTTTTGAAACAAACGAAGACAGCAGAAGTAAATGATTGATTTGAATTATTTATCCTGACATGTTTACTGCTATATATTTTAAATGTTTCTCAAAATAAAATATATTGTGTTTAAAAGGGAAAAAAAAAACATTTAAAAATGTACCCAGACATTTAAAAAGAATATATTTTAGAGCAGTAATCACACTACAGCCAAACTGTGAAACAATATTTTTATCCAAGGTTATCATACCATCAGTATTTTATACCAGCCCATGCCTAGTCAAGGACAAATTTCAAATATAAGCAAATTCTACATTTGCAGTTTTTCTAGATTCTAGTTGTTTTTTTTCCCAGTGTTTCTGCAGGTTTCATTTAGTGAAATTTAAGACTTTAAGACATTTTTAAGGCCGTTATGAGTGAAAGTTTAGACTCATAAAGGGCTAAACGCTAAGGAATTTTTCAAAAGGCCAGATTGAAATAGATGGAAAAGAGTTTTATTTGCCCTATCCAAAAAAAATATACTTTAATACATTTAATTATACATTAATAATAAAAAATATATATTTTAGATTTTATTTCTTAGCAAAATATTTTAAATATTGTGTAAAAACAAGCAAGCTCTACTTGTATCCATATTTTTTTCCATCATAAACTTTCTTTAAATAAAAATAATAAAAAAATGTTTTAAAAGATTTAAAAACTATAATAAACTAAATCTATGCACAACAATCTGTCCAGGCCGGTCACCTTAGCAGTAAAAACATGGAGAACTTTTAAACAAATGTTATTGTAGGGAAAATAATTAAACCATTATTATACTTAAAAATTGCCTTTTTCAATAAATAGTTTAAAGTTTTATTAAGATGGATTGCTGGTGATTGTATGGGAGTTGGCCATGTTGTATAGCTTTACATGAAATTAACGAAAACTAAGAACTGTTTAAAAAAGATTTAAGACTCAACAACACAATATTTCAGTAAATTTAAGACTTTTTAAGACCTAGCATTTGGATTTTGAGACGCAGAAAAGCGTTTATAGTGCCACCAAATTTTACATCTTAAATGATCAGTATTAATATTTTTGTCTGTGTAAGATGCCAAAATAATATGAACTCAAAAAATATATATTAAATATTATAAATATTAAACTAAGGGTTGGACACGGTGGCTCACGGGTTAGCACTGCTGCCTCACAGCAAGAATGTCGCTGGTTCGAGGCCCTGGCTGGGCCAGTTGACATTTCTGCGTGAAGTTTGCATGTTCTCCCTGTTCTGGCATGCGTTTCCTCTGGATGCTCCGGTTTCCGCTACAGTCCAAAGACATGGGCTATAGGTGGATTGAATAAACTATTGTGTAAAAATGAGTGTATGGAAGGGCACCTTCTGTGTAAAACATATGCTGGAATAATTGGCGTTTCATTCCGTTGTGGCAACCCCTGACGATTAAAAGGGCTAATTAAAGGAAAATGAATGAATGAATGAATATTAAAATAAGTTTGTTGGACAAGTTTGTAGGACTAATTAAAAAAATGGTCAAACCTTATCTTGTCTAGCCTTTTTGTTTGTTTGTTTGTTTAACAGAGAGAGAGCTTGAGATACTGCAAAGCTTGGAGGATCTGGATATTCAAGAGGACCAGAATGCAGTGTTCATGTGTGAAGTGTCCCTAGACGATGTGCCTGGAGAATGGTTTAAGAATGGAGAAAAGATAAAACCGACCAGCACAATTAAGATTCGTCAGGAAGGTTATTCTGTTGCTAAACTTTGCTCTCTTTCATAATGGAAACCTCAGTGAATATTTAAATGAATATCTGATCATGACTTGTCTGTGCCATGTTTGTTTGTTTTTTTGTTTTGTTACACAGCGAATAAGCACTTCCTCCTTATATGCAATGTTAAAGAAGAAGATTCAGGAGAGATCAAGTTTGTAGCCAAGAATGTGGAGTCTACAGCTTACCTTGAGGTGGAAGGTCTGTATTTATTTCAAGTTGAGAACACACTACAAAGCTTGACATTTGATGACTAAATGGTATAACATTTCAAAACAGTTTAAAAACTTGGTTAACCAGACATCAGAGGCCTATTGCATAAACCAGTTTTGTTTTTACCCAGGTAAGTTTATTTTGAGAAATCTCAAGTTTTTAGACCCAAAATAAAAGGTTGGGTTTCATCAGGTTTTGTCGACATTGTAACTAAAGAAAAACTATCCTGCTCTGAAGTTTAATTTTGTGAGTAAAGTGACATATTTATATGCAAGTATTTATGTTTGTACTTTGATGGAACAAAGCCACTTCCAGTTCCACTCCCTTGTCTCTTTTTGCTCCAAATAAAAGCCTTTTACACTAAAAGCATTTTTTATCAAAATCTAATAATTGTTGTTGCTAATAATAATATACATTATATGAACTATACTAACAGTATATATTAAAATAGTTTAAATGTGTCAATATGATATCTTTAAGTTTAAATATCTATATACATTTGTTTTAATAAAGCTTTAAAATGACTCTTTTAAGCTCTTTGTGAATTTATATTAATTAAAATTAGTTAACTGATTTGCATTGACATTAGAATATTGTCTTTAAAATGCCTTATCAAACTTTTGCTGCATTTATTTATCCCTTGTATATGTCCTTATACTTACTATGTTTCTGATAGTGATATCTCTGAACCTTAACCAGAGCAAATCTCTAGCGATAGTTGAATCAAACTGGCTCTCTCGTGTTTTGTGTATCTGGCTGTTTGCTTCAGCTGTTTCGACTTCATGTGGTACAGAGTTAATCACAAATTCTAGATTAAACTCTGAGTTAACAGAAAATGTTTAAATCAAGCATTGTTAAATCATGTTGGATTTGTTTGGTTTTGTCAACCCAAAACTTACTCTAGAACAGGGGTGTCCAAACTCAGTCCTGGAGGACCGGTGTCCTGCATATTTTAGTTCTGACCCCAATTAAACATGCCTGAACCAGCAAATCAATCTCTTTCTAGGTATACTAGAAACTTCCAGACAGGTGTGTTAAAGGAAGTTGGACCTAACTATGCAGGAAACCAGCTCCCCAGAAACAAGTTTGGACACCCCTACACTAAAACCTGGAGTTTGTTCAACTTGTTTTGTGCAGCAGATCTCTGGTATTTACTACACCCCAACAAATGGGAAAGCAGCTATGCCCAAAAGCCTCCCAAAAAATTCTTCAAATAAGTAATGTAATATAATGTCTACAATTTCCATCTCTATGGTTCTACAACTGTAGCCACGACTATATAATAAAATATTAAAATATAATAAACTGGATATATTATAAAAATGAGTTTCAAAGCAATATCACAATGCTTAAAACTTTTAATTCCCACAGCATTACCAGCAAACATTGTGAAACCACTTCAGGATAAAACTGTTCTGGAGAAAACCCGTGCCATAATGGACTGCACACTGACCAATCCCCGCTGCAGCATTCGCTGGTATAAGGGACCTAACGTCATCCTGCCCTCGGAGCACTTTGAGATATGCAGTGAAGGATGCTATCGAAAACTTGTGATCCAGCAGGTGCTGCTGGAGGATGAGGGCACCTATAGTGTTCAAGTAGGAAACTACACATCTTCAGCAAGACTAACTGTTGAAGGTGAGACTATTTCAGTTCTCTGAAACCAATTATACAAGAATAACATTATGTAACATTATGGGCTCTACTCGCCCTGCTCTTGGTGGAATTTGAGCCAACGTTTGAGAAAGAGTGCTAACACGAATGATAAAGAGAACAGTCTCAAGCTTCAGTCATTAGTGTGCTTCTCACATCTAGGTCACCAATAGAATCCCTATAGTTGTAATCACTACTTTCCCAAACACATTTTTGTCATGTCAGATGACAGACAGACAGATATTTGAAGAGTTCAGATGCAAAAACCTCTAAGCGGCATCTGAAATTTCCATCGAAAATGAATGTTTTTTTTCTTAGCCTCCTTTGTTTACGTTTTCACTTATTTCACTTAAGAGACCATGGAAAGAACTTTTTCTTTGCCATAAAAATTATTTTAGTGAACCTACACACAGGAGCCTGATAAAAATGAAAATTTTAGGATAAAATTTCAGACGGAATTTAGAAATTTTTGCATCTGAACTCTTCATTTGTTCTTTGAAATACAATGACATGCATATTTTTCTAAAATGTAATACTACATAATGCCAAGTCTATTCAGTTTTTGTTATGTGGAAGCAGACTACTTTCTTAGAATGTGCAATACTTTCAAGAAGATTATCAAACTGTAGTAAACGGAATCTGTTTTGGCTAACGTACAAACCAGTTTTTATAGGCTATTAATACTATAATTTTAATAATAGGCCTAAAATATTTTCTATATGACGCCAAAAATCAATTAAAGCATATTGGCTAAACTATTTATTTTGATTTACAGTTTAAGGGGACTGTTCTCGTAAATTAGAAATGTAACGTTATCCTACAGGTCACTAACCTAATAGCTTCCGTTTCTTAGAAAACAAATCAATCATCTACCAATAACTCAGTCATTCTCTTGGCGTTTATTCGACGCCAAATATATGACACACGCTTCTTAACATGTTCATACCAAAATTACTTAAGCAATTTGTGCATTTCAATCAACTTTAGGTAAGTACATCTTTAGACCGCCACGACGGTTCAACTTACCTCAGCCTCTTGTCAGCTAAAAGGAAGAAAGTCAGTTGCAGTTATTACAACGAACACCAGCAGATGGCGATGTTTAACAAGTAGAACTGTAGGCTACGATTGCTGGTCACATACAGTTGAAGTCAGAATTATTAGCCCCCTGAATTATTAGTCCCCCTGCTTATTTTTTTTTTCCCCTAGGTAAATTAGATAAACTAGCCAAGTTAGGGTAATTAGACAAGTTATTGTATAACGATGGTTTGTTTTGTAGACTATCGAAAAAAATAGGGAGCTAATCATTTTGACCTTAATTTTTTTTTTTTATTAAAAACTGCTTTTATTCTAGCTGAAATAGAACAAATAAGACTGATAATAAAAATATTTTCAGACATACTGTACTGTAAAATTTTCTTGCTCTGTTAAACATAAATAATAAATAAAAGATAATAATAAATCTGACTTCAACTATACATGAGTACCAAAAAAGTTAAATTATTATTAATTGGCCAAATTGAACTATTCTTTTTCAAATCTAGGAAAAAGGAACATACAAAATGTTTACAGAAATATATTTTATAACACTATCAAGAAATATTTTATTTTGATTACACTGAAGTATAGTACATAGAAATGTGCTTTTAATAAAATAATAAAAAAGTTTTAAATCTGAATAGTTCATACTGAAAACAAAATGACTGTACAAGCTTCTAATTTATATCACAGACATTAAGATTAAAGCATTAATAATATATTTAAATACAACCGTTTTGTTTATCAAGAAGCAATGGGGAAAAAAAATTGCCAAAATTTGACACTCTCTAAAACAGAGATGCCCAAACTAGTGCCCGCGAGCCAAAATTGGCCCATGTTAAGCTTTGATTTGGCCCGCCATCCCATCTGAGAAGAGAGAGAGAATGATGGGAAGGGTAGGGAAAATGACTTTTACAGAGCTTTTCATTACATACAACAAAACCTTTTGTTTGTTGGTTTGTTGGATTGTTGAGATACAAAAAAAGCTAATTAAATGAAATGTTTCAATTAAATGTTGAGCATAACCCGGCTTTTAAAAATTGTAAGGATCCTCAATGAGCAAATCAAGTTTATTCAATGTATTCAGCATCAAACACTATTCTGTTATAAAGGATTATTTGATTTTAAATTTATAGTACATTATAAAATGTTGGGGCGAAGCAGTGGCGCAGTAGGTAGTGCTGTTGCGTCAAAGCAAGAAGGTCGCTGGTTCAAGCCTCGGCTCCGTTGGCGTTTCTGTGTGGAGTTTGCATGTTCTCCCTGCGTTCGCGTAGTTTTACTCCGGGTGCTCCGGTTTCCCCCACAGTCCAAAGACATGCGGTACAGGTGAATTGGGTAGGCTAAATTGTCCGTAGTGTTTGAGTGTATGTGCATGTGTGTGTGTGGATTGTTCCCAGAGATGGGTTGTGGCTGGAAGGGCATCTGCTGCGTAAAAACTTGCTGGATAAGTTGGTGGTTCATTCCACTGTGGCGACCTCGGATTAATAAAGGGGCTAAGCCGACAAGAAAATGAATGAATGAATGAAAATAAAATGTTAAAATATATAATTTTTAACATGATTAAAGTTTTTTTTTTACATTTATTTTTAAATATCAATAAATCAGGACATTTTCACGGCAACTTTAATGTAATACTTTGGTTTATTTAACTTCACTCACCACCTTTAACCAACTTTGGTTTTTGGTCCTTCATAAGAAAAAGTTTGGGCACCCCTGCTCTAAAATAAAGGTGCCTTGCAAAAAGGGTTTTTCACAGTGCGATAAAAGAAACTTAAACAATTCCACAAATACCTTTTAGTAAAAAGCTCTTCAAAAAAACTATTATTTTCATAGTGAAAGAACATTTTCATAATCAAAGCCACCTTTTCCACTCTAAACAATATTTTGTGACATAAAAACATTCATGGATGTTAAAGCCATAAATGCCGGTAAGAACCTTTACTTTTAGGTCGTCCAGAAAAAAAAAAAGTATTGTTACAGAACCACATTTAAGTATATTAAAGTCATTGACTGTGCAATTACACTGGGAAAAGACTGGTCAAGACTACACTGGACTGTGGTAACTAAAAACAATTGCTTTTGCATATGTGTGATCATTTAACCAATGTGTATTTTGGCTCTTTCTCAGCTCAGTCGATCCTGATGGTGCGGGAACTGCAGGATGTGAATGTAACAGCTCCTGCGGATGCATGCTTTGAATGTGAGATCTCTTTGCCTGTGGCCAAGGCACCTACGTGGACCCTCAATGGGGAGACGCTGAATCCTAGTCCTAATGTAGTGCTGGAGAAAATGGGAACTGTTCATAGGCTCACTCTTAAACAAACATCTGAAGAAATGAGCGGCACCGTGTGCTTTATCACAGGGAGAACCAAAAGCACTGCACAGCTACTTGTCAGAAGTAAGTCATATAATAGGTTATCTACAGTTGAAGTTTTTTTTTTTTTTATTATTCAAATATTTTCCAAAGTATGTTAAACAGAGCAATGGTTGTTTCACAGTATTATCTATAATATTTTTTCTTCTGGAGAAAGTCTTATTTGTTTTATCCCGGCTGGAATGAAAGCAGTTTTATTTTTTTTAAAAACCATTTTAGGTCAATATTATTATCAGCCCTCTCAAGCAATATTTTTTTTCCGATTGTCTACAGAACAAACCATAGTTAAACAATGATTTGCTTAATTACCCTAACTTGCCTATAGTTAAGCCTTTAAATTACACTTTAAGATGACAACTAGTATCCTAAAAATATTTGGTAAAATATTATGTAGTCATCATGGCAAAGATAAAAGAAATCAGTTATTAGAAATTAGTTACTAAAACTATTGTTTAGAAATGTGTTAAAAAAATATCTCTGTAAACAGAAAATTGGGGGGAAAATATACAGGGGGCTAATAATTCTTTGACTTCAACTGTACACCATTAATATACTACACATATATACTGTGTATCATCACCTTTACTCTGAATATGAGATGTCTCTGATGCCTATTCTTAGGCATGGAGTCTGGACTTGTTTTAATAAGAACTTGATACACACTTGATACTAATAGCATGGGGACATGTGATTTACAGTAGTATCCAATTGAGGGTAAAAAATTTATGAAGCGACTGCTGACTTATTGATCCTTGTTTTTCTCTTCTTTTTTGCAGGAAACAACTGAGAAACAACACATGCACTTAGTGCATAATACTCAACTTGCTTTTAAAATGCAAAAATACCAAATTAAATGATAACGTTCACGTTTCTTTTAATAAGTCTGAAAGTAAGCCTAAGAAGAATTGAAAATCCAAATATATAATTTGTGCATATTATATGCCATTCTAAGTGGTTGACCACACATGTATTAAATTATTTAAAGGGCACCTATGATGAAAATCATCTTTTGTAAGCTGTTTGGACAGAACTGTGTGTAGGTATAGTGCGTCCACAGTCATATTGGGGTGATATAAACACAATAAGTCTCTTTTTGGAAATTTCCTGATGTTAAAATAGGATCCCTTCCATTTTGAGGTCGACTCATGACGTAGGAGTGCATTTTACCCACACATTGAATTGATTGACAGCTGCAATACCCCCCCCCCCCCCCCTTTAAACAAGCTGTTTGAATGTGTGTCTGTATACGTGAACTTTGTAACATTGTGTGTAACTCATTGTTGCAGAAATGCTTGAATTATCTCCACAACAAATACATCAAATAATCATTGGGAAAGTTTTTACTGTAATTTTTCTCACAAATGTTATGAGAGATCTGCTTCCTTCATGTCTGTCACTGTGCTGTTTATCTGACGCAGCTGAGGGAGAGATTTGAGCTGAAACTTAACACACATTCGGACACTAAAGACTTATCTTAAATCTTGAAAAAAGGGTAAAATAGGTGCCCTTTAAATTCTCATGTTTTCTAAATCTTTGATCAAGTACATTGGGCTTTAGAAATGAACAAACTTGTGGAATCACTTACATTTCTTGCATTTTTAGAAAAATGTATTTGCTATCTTATTTTGCAATTTGTGTACTACTGTATATCATTGTATAGATATCATTTTGTGTTTTTTTTAACTATTAGATAAAAGTGAGGTTAAGGCATGTAATAAAAATATGCAGGGCCAAAGATGATCAAAAGAGGGTTTGGGACGGAAAGAAACTTTAGAGTAGGCTATGTAACAAATACAACGAGTTCATGAATCCATTTTACTAAGTAGGAAAACATTTACAAATACAGTATGGAAATGCTTTTGAGTTTGCTTCTGTTGTATTCAGAAAGCATTTCACAATTCTTGCCTTTTACTAAAGTATCTAAATGAATGTTCCCATGTTTATCAATACCTTTCAATAAAATTTGAAAACATATTTGAAGTGTGTTGTTTGTTAATAGCCTGGAAAAAAATATCCTTCTCAAAGTGAACATTGCAATAGTACATTATACAATAGTTGCACAATAGTTACTGATTTGGTCATTATTTACTAATCCTCGTGCTGTCAAAGCTGTTTGACTTTTAACTTTTGTGTAAACACCAGTGTTTTCTCAGCCATTTTTCAGGTAACGTTAAAAAGGTGATCTGTGATAAATATATACAGTATTTTAAGGTTTCTTTAGACTTAACCACCATTCTTCCCTTGGCTGATGTGATTTTCTGTCTTGTGTCGTCTTTTTATTGTTGTCTGAGTGAAAAACGTAATACTTTTGTCACAAACCACTACATTTCACAGTAAACAAAGCAGTTTGAAGAAAAAAAGTATTTTAAAAAAATCATTTATTTATTAGTGCACAGAACAATTCTGCTCAAATGGAAAGACCCCCTTCCACCCTCCTTTATTTAATGGACCACAGAGAGATGATCTCTTTTCTTTATACCTTGAAAAGATTAAATTCTCTTTAAGAGGATTGCGTAAACCATTCTATAAGATATGGCACTACTTTAATGATTATGTTGACTATATTAATAAATACCTAGGGCCAGGACAGAATCTGCTGATATTTTTTGCTATTTCTGCAGAGAATTTAGTAAAAAATCTGCGTATTTATGCAGAATGATTTTAAGAGTATCTTAACTTTAAAGCTAAATTATGAATAAATAATAATACATTTTTAACTTTTATTTAGTGTTTACAATGCAAAATTCACTTACTTGGTATACAAAGCAAGTCTCCACTATAATTTATCTACAAAAGGACAGAACATTTAACTTTACAAACTATTGTACATAAGCCGTATGAAAATTTAAAAATTACTATTATTATATCACAATAACATTTGTGAAATTAATTAAAATACTGTATAAGCATAAATTTACACACATTTACACGTGTAAAAACAGACTCATTGGCTAAAAATCAGCAGATTTGTGCGCACGCAGATTCTGTGTGGGCCTACTAATACCCTACAAATATATGTGTGTACATATATATATATATATATATATATATATACACATTTTAAAAAATATATTTTATTATTTTTTTATTTTAAAATATATATATAATATATTTTTTTGTATTTTGTATTAACATTGCTATGTTTCTCTAAATACTTGTAGTTTTAGACTGAAGTGATCGACAGCTATGCATTCTACTCTAGAGTAAGAGTTTTAGGGTTTGTGAATGGATATAGGCTATTTAAAAATGAATAAAAAATATTCAAACAGAATAAAAACATTTAATTACGTCCTAATAAAAAACTGTATTTAGCAAGAACGATTTTTAAGTGCTCTTTCTCATTCACTCTGACTGTTTAAATCTGTTAACGTTTGGTTAAATATTATTTTGCTTAGCTTATGTTATTGTAAAAATACTTTTTATATGCGACGCTAGGGGGAGACATTTTGCTTCAATACTTTTAAGATTAGAACATTTTTCCTAAAGTGAAAATTCACCTAAAACTGAAAATGTTGTCTTCATTAACTCATCGTCCACTTGTTTTTAACCTGTTTGACTTCCATTCTTCATCTCAACACAAAAGAAGATAACTAGATAACTATTGGCCTACACTATATTTGTTTTCTGTGGACTGGTTTCCAACATTCTTCAAAATATCTTCTTTTTTGTTTAACTTAATCACTTGAGTGTGAGTAAATTTTCGATTTTAGATGAACTATTCCTATAAGGCAATTATTTTTTTTCATTTGCCTCAGATAAATGACACTTAATGATGATAGATAAAATATAATGATAAAAATGGCTTAAATGCACATTAAAATAAACCAAAAGGAAGCTAACTACTTAAGACGGATAAAAAAAAAATCAAAGCTGACAAGCCTTGAGGCCAAACCACATTATGTTTTTGGTTCGTACCAAACTAGCAATCTTATTCAAGCAATAAATAGCATTTGTTGTCTCACTCGTGAATTTGTGAGAATACTAAAAAGAAGTAAAATTATTTTAAACAAGCACTACCAGGACTATTATACAAGCTGTGAAAAACCCTGGCTCTGGACCTGTTGCATAAGCAGAGCAGTGTGAGAAGTCCTAACGTGATTGATGAATAGTCAGAGCTTGGAGAATGTACTAAGTCAGACATGCGATTCAGTAACATCTCTGCATCATCAGTTTCAAATGTTAGAAGACTCGACGTACCCATGTACCAGGTAAATGCCCAACTGTACTTCACTGAATTTAATGTATTTTTGTTTTCCTCTTAGATTCAACCCTGCTTAGTTTTTCAACCTATAAGGGTTTTCACTATAGTATGAAAACGTTACAAACTATTAAATTGTCACAATTACAAATGTTTTTTTAAAGGTTTGAAGCATGTTTTAGGACATCTTCCATGAGATTTTAGTGTTTTTTTAACATGCCACCAATAAAAGGCAACAAATTACCTGCAGACACTTACAGAGGGCCTTAAAAGCTCATTAAATTTAATGCAAAACAAAATACAAACACTGAAAACCATTCAAAATTTTTTCAGCAAAGATGTATTGTGTGTGTTTGTGTGTGTGTGTGTGTGTGTGTGTGTGTGTGTGTCTGTCTGAAATGTATAGTGACAATTATAATAATAATAAAGACTACAAAAAATATACTAATTTATGCTCAAAGGATATCCTTGTTACCAGACATCTAATTCCAAAATACATTTACCGGCCACTTTGTTAGGTACCGCTTTCCAACTGCTCGTTAATGCAAATTTTTAATCAGCCAATCACATGGCAGCAACTGAATCAATTTAGGCATAAAGTCATGGTCAAGATGATCTGCTGCAGTTCAAACTGAGCATCAGAATTGGAAAGAAAGGTGATTTAAGTTACTTTGAACATACAACACGTCGAACCTTAAGGTGGATGTGCTACAGCAGCAGAAGACCACACAGAGTGTCACTCCTGTCAGCTAAGAACAGGAAACTAAGGCTACAATTCACAAAGACTCACCAAAATTGGAAAATAGAAGATTGGAAAAAACGTGGGTCTGATTCTCGATTTCTGTTGCGACATTCAGATGTTAGGGTCAGAATTTGCCGTCAACAACATGAAAGCATGGATCCATTCTGCCTTATATCAACGGTTCGGGCTGCTGGTGATGGTGTAATAGTGTGAAGGATATTTTCTTGGCAACAACTGCACGATGCTATCCTATCAATATGGACCAAAATCTCTGATGAATATTTCCAGTATGATGTTGAATCAGTGCCACAAGGGATTAAGGCAGTTCTGAAAGCAAAAGTGGTGTAACCCGTTGCTAGTAAGGTGTACCTAATAAAGTGGCCAGTGAGTGTATAATCCAGAATAAAACAAATTGTGAATTTAAACCACAAAAAATAATAGATTATACTTTTTAGAAATGAAACATTCAATACCCAAGTTGTCATTTAAGCTTTTATGAATAACAAAATCATTTTTTTTTTCTCCATGGCACAGCACTATTTTCATTAATATGACAAATATAGAAGGACAGCGAGTGTTTCGCCATCACAGAGTCTATTTAAAAAGTCAAACACTGAAAAATGGACAAAACACCAGTATTAAAAACCATAACATCGTCATTCCACTCTCTCCTGGACACATGAATCACCATTTTTTGCTCAAAACATCAACATTGGCACTTGCAAAAACAATCAGCCCAGACTCAGAGCTGAGCAGATGTTCAATCCCCACGAGGAAAACCATCCATATTAAAATGGCACAATTACCAAGAAGGCACGTCAATAACAGGGGCTCTCCAGTCCACGGTACAGCATGCTTAAAGCCAATGACCAAATCACTTTCTCAACCAACCATCTGACAGCTTAGTGATCTAATGGAGAGTTAAGGCATTACGAATATCTGTTTCCACTGACAAATCAAGCTTTGATTCCAGTATTCTTTACCTGCTTTGATTAATATAAACACACAAATGGCATACTGTTATGAATTTAAAACAATACAGTATCGAACAAACTGATTTTGTAAAGAAGACCGCTTTGATATTTGTCTTACTTTTTTTGCTACAGTAATTTAAGGCCACAATGAAGGACCTCGCATTAGACAAAATAAAGCATACTGTATATGATACAAAAGGTGCATTAGCTTTAACCTTCGGGGTGAAAACAGACCACGCGACACAGGCCGATTTCCCTTTCTTGCATCTGTTGCTTTGCAAAACTTGGAATTTCAAGTGCTGGCTGATTGCATCAAGACTTTTTCCAATATCTGGTTTAGAAACTTAAACGGAGAAGGAAAATTAAAGGGAAAATGAATGCTTGTTTCAGAGCCCAATAACGTTGTCTAGATTAAAAAATAAGAACAACAGCATATGGTTCAATATGATTGCCATTCATGGGTTAATCTTGAGGTAAACTTATTAAACACAGGGAATGAGTGGTTTAACTCAAGATATGAGCCCAAGAGTAGAAAGTAATTTCTTGAAGAAACATTCTCTAATCACCAACCAAACAGGACAATAAACTGGTTTCATTTAACAGGGCTTCCCTTGACCATGAAAATGAAGAGTTTGGCAAAGGAGTCACACATCTTTGGGTGAAATCTCATGAGCCACATTTTCACATCTGAATCAAATAGAAATAATAAATTGTCTAAAGAAAACAGCATACTTATATAATAATTTTCAAGACAATTAAACAAATTTCCCCCATATTATTACATTAATGCTTCAGGACATAGCTTTTATCCATCATTATTCACAATGGCAGTTTTCATTACTTTGATACAGTACTTTTTAACAAATAAATTAAAGGCAGTACAACAAATACAACCATAATGTATAAATACAATACAATTTTAATATATTATCATGTTTTTTTTTACACATTACAGTAATATATAAGTTTGCATTTCCTGCATTAATACAAAAATCGGGGGGAAATGTGCTTGGCTGCTGCGTTTTCTTTAAACAAAATACGATTTCCTTTGTGAAAACTTTTCGGCAGCTTTCCTAAAAAGTTCACCCAATCGAGTGTCAAAACAATCAGCTTCTTGATTCACTGTTTTATGCATGTAATGGATAAAGCAGTCCTTCACAGTTCTGTCTTTACTCTCTCTCTCTTTCTATCAAACAATCATGTGAATGGAATTGTGGGTAGGTGATGAGGACTGAGCTAGTGGCTGGTCCTGTTAGGGGGAAGCAGTGTGGCGCTCCGGGCCCCGCAGCCTCCCTGGCCCCAAAGTGACAGCTGCTTTTAGTGTCATGCTAACTAGTAGTCCTCTGCTGCTTGAGCACAGTGTAGACGTTATCCACTTTACTCAGTCTCTCGAAAAACGGGATGAGATCCAGCAGCTCTGTGTCAGACATGTCGTCAAACCAGGAGGCTACAGGTACCTAAACGCGACAGAAGAAGAGTTTGTGTTCAGAAATACTGGGATATAAAGTGAATATATTGCTAATTAAAGAATTTATTAACATGAAGTGACAATGAACAATACTTGTACAGCATTTAATAATAATCATAGTTCAACATTTACTGATGCATTATTAAAATATTTATCCAAATACATTAATATTATCATGAACAATTTTATTTCCACAAACTAAAATGAATGAAGATACATAAATATTGTAAGAAATGTATTATTAATTGCTTATTCATGTTAGTAAATACATTAAATAATACATCATTATTTTAAAGAGTTACCAAAGTTTCAATAAAAAAAAACAAAAAAAAAAAAACATTTGCAATAATTTAACAGCTTTGGTTTTAAAATAGTCAAAATACACCCATAATAATAATAATAATAATAATAATAATGACTAATAATAATAATAATAACAATAATAATAATAATCATAATACTAATAATAATGATGATGATAACAACAACAACCATTTAAAACCTTTCATCTTAATGTATGATAAAAATGTGAGTATTACTTCAGGCTAAACCATGAAAAATTAAATTTTTATATATTTTCTGAATAAAAAATGTCATTTCATCATTTAAAGAGCCCCTATTTTGCATTATAAATGGTCATATTTGGGTTTTGGGGGTCTCCAACAACATGCTGATATGCATGCAAGGTTAAAAATCGTGTTTTCAATGTGGCTTTATTCACCTTATTCTTTGCATATGAGCGGGTGCAGCCATTTGAATCTTTTTGGCTTGAGAATTCCAATCTAATTTACTTCCATTCATTTTTAAATGTTAAAACCAGCTTGTTACGCAGCTTGATGTTGAAAATTTATATTTTCTTATTATTTTATTCTGCCTTGTATGTTAAACGAGAAAATTGACTGTTTTTTGACCATTTATTTCTAGTCAATTTCTCCAATAGGCAACTGAATCAGAAAACAATTGCAAAAACAAGCTCACTTCCACATTGAAGAATAAGGTCAATACACAATATGTGAATATAAAGAGTTAACAGATAAAGTACGAGCTGTGTGGAGCAATTACAAGTAACAAAACACAATTAAATACATATTTTGAAAGCTAAATAAAACAAGGAGGCAACCATTTTAATCACACTCACTTACACTTGTGAAATGGAGAAAGAAACAAGCTCTGACAAAGTTCCATACATCAATAGTCTTTTTTGATCCTTGCTTTAACAAAGGGACGACGAATCCCCCGTTGCAGGGTAGATTATTGCATTATCCACCAGAACATTTACTCATGTTCTCTTATCTTCAGTCACAATCAGTCCCACACACACCTGCACTCTGCTAGTGTTTGAAAGGAAAGACACGTTCACGTTTTACCGGAACCGGCACTTCATATTTGGTATCGTTTCATGTCAATGTCAATACGAACAGGCAAAAGATCCAGACAAACAACAAATCGTTTGAATGACTGTCTGAATCTGATCATTTATTTAAGAAAAATAAATATTTTTAAACACTTCTAGATTTAAACCTCGGCTGAATGTTTTCCTTCACTTAGTGCTGTGTTACACTGCATGGAAGGGGATTTTCAAAAACCCGTAAGAGGGGCTCTTTAAATATGAACTTTCTACTTAAATGCTTCAACTTAAATGTTCAATAAATAAGAATGAGTCTTGTATGACCAATTCAGCACAAAGTTCAGCAAAAAACTTTATCTATTTTTAAAGTAGTAACAGTTTCTCCAGCCTATTCTTATGAGAAAATGTAACTATTTTACATATTGGTGAAAAAGTTTTTGTACAAACTCATTAAATTTCATTTGTATGAAAATGAAACATTAACAACCCAACTGTCATTGGGGGGTGGGCAATTCACACTAAAACAGTGGTTCCCAAACGTTTTGCAGTGTGCACTGCTTTCTATTATTTGACACCTGTCAAGCACCCTTTTCTCCGATTAAACTCCACATTTTTAACTATAATAACTAAATACACATTTTTTTTCTGTATACATGATTGAAATAAAATATAATAAAACCGGTGAAATTAATGGACAAGCTATTATGAAGTTGACAATTTTTACAGTATCAGGCATAGGTTGTAAATTACAGTTCGTAATGGGTTTATTTTTCTCGCTCTCTGTGAATTTCTTTTCTCTCAAAAATATGACATGTGAAGTTTACCCAAGATAAATGCATAGAAATAATAAAAGATAAAATTTTCTGCCATTACAAACATTCTCTCGTGCACACCTGGTAGTCAGATTGCGCACCCATATGGATGCATGCATCCCAGTTTGGCAACCATTGCACTAAAATGTACTAATTAAATCATACAAAAATTACAGTAAATCAAAAGGTTTCAATTGCAGTGAGATTGTGTTGATTTCTCTGCTGACTTAAAAGTATAGAATTAACTCTTATAGAAAGGGTGTCAAACTCGTAAAGGGCCGCAGCCCTGCAGAGTTTAGTTCCAGCCCTGCTTCAACACACCTGTAGGTAGCAAACAAGCCTAAAGCACTCAATCAGTTTGATCATGTGTGTTTAATTAGGTTTGGAATTAAACTGTGCAGAGCTGCGCCCCTCCAGTAACCGAGTTTGCCACCCATATCTTTTTTTTTTTTCTTTTTCAATTTTACAATATGACATATGCTCTGATAAATACATTCTCATGAGGTTTAGTAAAACTCTTTTAGCAGTAATAAGCGCATTAGTGCCACAGAACAAAGAAAGGCAGTAACGTACAGCATTGTCTGGGTGGAATATGTAGGAGGCTGGCGAGTTGTCCACAATGATGACTTTGTTGAGATCCCTGCCTAGACGGCTTAGGTCCTTCACATAATTTCCGCGATGGAACACACAGGATTCCCGGAAAAGACGGCTTCGGAAAGCTCCCCATTTGTCCAGCAGATCCGAGACGGGATCAGCATACTAGAAAATAACAAAACCACAGGAAAGTGAAAGACACAGTTAGACTGAAATGGAAGCAAAGTGTCAAGCATCAACAAAGATGTTAAGTTAAAGATGTGAAATCCCATTTTAGTGTCCACATCAGAATGAATATAAAAAGTCTTATCTGTTTTATTTCGGCTAGAATAAAAGCAGTTTTTATTTTTTTAAAAACCATTTTAAGGTCAAAATGATTAGCCTCTTTAAGATATATATTTTTTGATAATCTACAGAACAAACCATCATTATACAAGAACTTGCCTAACTACCTTAACCTGCCTAGTTAACCTAATTAACCTGTTTAAGCCTTAAAAAGTCACTTTAAGCTGTATAGAAATGTCTTGACAAATATCTAGTCAAGTATTATTTGCTGTCATCACGGCAAAGACAAAATAAATCAAAGTTATTGGAAGACAAGTTATTAAAACTATTATGTTTAGAAATTGGGGGGGGAAATTAACAGGGTCTAATAATTCTAAATTGCAACTGTAGACAGGATGCTTATGTAAAATCAATACATACTTTTTCTTTTTATCTGCATGTGATAAATTCTTTTGGTAAGACTTTAATATAGGACCTAATTTTTACTATTAACTAGTGCCTTATTACCTGCCTGTTATTGAGATATTGGCTGTTCATTAAAATGTACAAGGTACATTTGCTTCATAATTTTATTCTATATATCTAATTCTACTCAATACCTAAACCCAACGATTACCTTAATAATTATTAAAAAGCAGCAAAATGGGAGTTTATTGAGCTAAAGTTATAGCTAAGGGTTAGCACTGTCGCCTCACAGCAAGAAGGTCACTGGTTTCAATCCCGGTTTGGGCCAGTTGGCATTTCTGTGTGGAGTTTGCATGTTCTCCCAATGTTGGTGTGGGTTTCCTCCGGGTGTTCCACTTTGCCCCACAGTCTAAAGACATGCGCTATAGGTTAATTGAATAAAATAAATTGCGCATACATAGAGGTTGTGGCTGGAAGGGAATTAGCTGCGTAAAACCCAGTATGCTAGAATAGTTGATGATTCATTCAACTGATAAATCAGAGAATAAGCCGAAGGAAAATTAATAAATGAAGTTATACTGTAGCTAACGGTTTCTTAAAAGTGAGAATTGTACCTTAAAAAAAAGATGTGAGCAATAATTTATTTAACAATTTTTTTACTTTTTAGCTTTACAAGAAGTGAGTATATCACAGACTAGGAAAGAGTATGGCAGACCATTTTTACTTCATCTAAAAATCCCAATCACCAACTCATTGACTATAACTTTTGTCATAGAACCTACTGGACCCGACTCAAAAGACATCATTTCAATGCCTCCTTTAGTCCTCTCTGTGATAAATGTACCGGCCATATTTTTTCATATGGGAATGTGGAAAAGTACAAAAACGTTGGAATTAGGTCTGTGTTATCGTATCTAAAATATTTCCATTCTATTACTGAGCGATGATTCTACGCTGATTCTCATCAAGCTACAAAAATCTGTTTGATTGGCTAGCTTAACTTTTGCAAAAAAAATAGTAGCCCAACATTGGCTGCCTCCACATAATTTGGACATCTACAAGTGGTTGGTACAACTTCAGGACATTATAATGTTGGAATTAATGACAGCTTGAGTGAACTTATACAAATGAATACTAGGCATGGGACGATTACTGTTTTCAAGGTATACCACAGTTTGGAAAAGTCAAGTTTTTAAGACAGTCTCCGTTTTAAATTGGAAAAAAAAATAAAATCTGTTTTTGAAATAAATGAAGACCGTAGAATTCATTAATTCATTTCAATTAATTAACCTGACATGTTTACTGCCCCAAAATTTTTTAAATGTTTCTTAAATATGTATATAAGAAACATTTTACATTTTTTGAGGCAGTGAACATGTCAGGCTAATTAATTCAAATATATATATATATTGTGTTTAAAAGGGAAAAAAGTTTTAGTTTTTTATCCAGACATTTAAAAAGAATATATTTTAGAGCAGTAACCACAATACCCCGAAACCGTGATATTTTTATCCAAGGTTATGATACGGTCAGAACCTTATACCGGCCCGTGCCTAAAGAGTACATTAAAGAAAGTCGCTGAATTGATATATTTCATAATTTTTTTTTTCAGCCTGTATGTTTTGTAAACAAAAAACGGAAAAAAATAAAATAAAATACCCCGCCAACCTACAAAAATAAATAAATAAATTAAAAAAAAATGTAATTTTCAATATTGTAAACCCTCCATCTAGGTAAATAAGTGCCCTGAATTAATAAATATCATTAATATAAAAGTCAAAGTAGTCTCAGTTTTTGTTGTAATTCTATAAAAAATGTTTAGTTATATAATTATTATCCATTTAAATATCCCTGAATATTGTTAGTACTGCAGGAACCCTGTAATCAGGAGGTCAAATCCCATTTATTAATAATCATAACACTAAATACCTTGCATGGTGCAAAAACAATTAGCATTTCTTAGTCTTACCTTGGCTAAGCTTGCAGTGAACAACACACACTCAAACAGTTCCCCCATCCGTTTAAGGAACTCGTCAACATGAGGTCTCTTCAACACGTACACCTACAGAAAACAGGCCAGAAAAAGAAAAAGGTTCAAATAGTGTGATCAGTTGAAGTGATTAAACTCACAGCCAGCTAGCATCTGAGGTAGTGAAACCAGCATGTGAGAAAAACTCTAACTAAACCAGGTCAAATTCTTAAAATGTCTGCGCTGATACAGCTAAGATGTATTACTAAATAAATAAGATTTATATAAGCCTGCATCTTGATATCTCTGCTTCATATAACGATGATCTTTATGTGATCGTACAACGATAAACCCAGTTTTAAGAGAAGCAATAAAGCGGGTTGTTTTACTCTAACAACTAGGTCAGCCAAACTCGTTTATGATGCTGGTGGTCTCATTCCTGAACCAAGTCATCCCGAATAGGCTTTCCGGACATCACAAGCCTATCCTGGATTACTTGAACCAGGCCAAAGCCTTGTCTGTCAGATGTCCACAGTCTGCTGGTCTAACTGGTGCTGTTGGCCTTTAAAGGGCCAAGACATGGTACTGTCACAGCCTGAGAGAGTAAGAGACACTCTGAGAAGTGATTGATAGCCAAGAACTTCTCAGAAGCCGGCCAGGGTTTCTCCATTTCGTCAGGACACAGAAATAGACGCCTGCTGCTCTGAACCGTCAGCTGAGATGCCAACGGTACTGTCAGGTAGCACACCCGTGTTAAACAGCAATACGTAAACAGAGGAGAAAACGTTTCAACACTGTGCAACAGAAGACAGATGAATAATAGAGGTCACATGAGTCTGACAAACATAACTCTTGATACCACTTAAAGTTGCTCATTTTATGGAGCAGAAATTACATTTAAGATGATGCTTCATCAAGTTATTTGATATTATTAGACATCATTACTGACTGATTAGGTTTAAAATTGTCTAGGAAGCTGAAATTAAAAATCATGGTAAAAGACACGCTTGGGATGTTTGTCCAATCGCAATGCATTGCCTCAAATAGGGAGCCAGTCAGAGCACGAAGCAGATATCAAATAGAGTAATTCAGACGTAACGCATATATAAAAAAATACTCTGTTTTTGTTTTGAACATTCAAGAATTTTATAAACCCGTTGTAGTACCCTCAATAAAATAGTGTTTTTAAAAAAAGCAATATGTGGTATAACGAACACTATTTCTGAGTAGGAAAACATGTCATTTTATGTATGTACTTATTTAAGAAGCAAGCAACAGTAAAAAAAAAAAAAAAAAAAAAAAATACTCTTATTATAATCAACAAAGCAGAGAAAACAAAATTTCATAGTTTCACATATTGTTTCATGAAGTTCTGAGTTACACATTCATCTAATTAGCAAAGGTACTGACAGCCTTGTTTAAATGCCTCAGAGTCAACACTGCATTCCTGCATTTGATTGGCTACAAGTGTCAACTAAGGCTAAAACACGAATATACATTTTGGTCGATATTTTTAATCCAGTGAAAATTCAAAAGGGTTCTCAGGGCTCATAAAAACTTGGAGGGAAAAGGTCAGATGTACTTGTAGAAATGAAAATTTATTAAGTTTAAATGTTTGTAGATAGACTTCTGGTTAATAATAACAATATAATAATAATGCCGGCAGCTAGCTCTCAGCAACTCACTTGGTCGCACACTGAAGCCAAGCAGGACTGTGCCTAGTCAGTACCTGGATGGGAGACCACATTGGAAAGCTAGTTTGCTGCCTGAAGTGGTGTTAGGGAGACCAGCAGGGGGCACTCAGCCTGCGATCTGTGTGGGTCCTAATACCCCAATATATTGATGGGGACTTTATACTGCTCAGTGAGCATAGTCTTTCAGACGAGACATTAGCCAAGGTTCTGACTCTCTGTGGTCGTTAAAAATCCCAGGATGTCCTCCGAATAATGGTAGGGGTTTAGCCCCAGCATCCTGGCCAAATTTGCTCACTGGTCTCTGTACATCATGGCCTTCATAACCATCCACATATCATAATTCTTCTTTCTGCCAATCAGCTGGTGTGCGGTCTGGCACAATATGGCTGTGGTCGCAGCATCCAGGTGGATGCTGCACACTGGTGGTGGATGAGGAGATTACCCCCACTGTGTAAAGCACTTTGAGTGTCCAGAAAAGTGCTATATAAATGTAAGGAATTTTTATTATTATTATTAGCCAATCACAAAGCACAAAGTGGATAGGTTTAGTCATGTAGACGAGGGTCGAGACAATCTGCAGAAGTTTAAAACTAGGATGAAGAAATGGAGAAGAAATATGATTTAAGTGGTGCTGAAAGTGGCTTAGTTGTTGAAGCCGGATGAGCTAGTGTGAAGATTTCAGAAACTGCTGATCTACTGGGATTTTCTCAAACAACCAGGGTTTACAGAGAATGATCATAAAAAGAGAAAATTTCTAGTGAGCAGCAGTTCTGTGGGTGAAAATGCCATGTTGATTTCAGAGCTGAATGTCACATTTACATTTAGTCATTTAGCAGACGCAACTTACAATAGAGGAGGCATTCAGTGATTCAACAAGAAAAGGCAATACACACAAGAAGTGCTGGTTATACAAAGTCTCTTGTTTGTGCTCAGAAAATAAAGTGCAATAGTAAGAGTACAGGTGGTTTGTCAAGCCCACTCACCTATGTGAAGCACACTTCATAAAAGCACAGTGTTTGTGTGGGTTAATGACTGGCTTGAAATTATTAAAAGGCACAAGTAACTAAAATAAACCACTCATTAAGACCAGCATCTACCTATTTGCGAGCATTAGTCAGGCTCGTTTTACTGACGTCACCACTCATTAGGCTTGTGCCTGAAGCAATTTGCCTGATTCAGCATGTAGAATCAGTGTTGGCCACCCGTGAGTGTTCTGATTGACTGAAGTGACAAAACTAAGGAAATGAAAAACGGGGATACAAAGAACCCACATGTCATTTCATCATATTTCTTAAATATTTGCAAACAATAAGGATTATCAGACACATCTGCATGAATGAATCCCTCTGTCGTGAGCAAGAAGGAAACACTGGTTTGTTCACTGTTTGTATGTGTGCAGTACTAGTTCCGGTTTCTCTCTATGACCTCCTGCAGTGTGGAAAGATGCATTCTCTTGCGAAAGCGAAAAGCGTACATTCTCATTTTAGCTTGCTGTCATCTATTTGGTGCGTTCATAAGCAGCTTTTTTTAGTCCAGACAGGACCAGTGGCAGCAGACGTGGGGCGACAAGTCGATTGTCATCACTGCTAGTTCTTTGACGTCTGCTTGGTGTGTCCTAGGCTTTTCAAACAAGGTGTGCATGTCAAACCTTCAATTAGATGAGCTACAGCAGCAGAAGACCACACCGGGTGTCACGTCTGTCAGCTAAAAACAGGAAACTGAAGCTTCAATTTGGATAGGCTCACCAAAATTGGAATTCTAAGATTGGGAAAGGGATACCTGCTCGGATGATTCTCAATTTCTGCTGTGACATTCAGATGGAACATCATAATACGATGTAAACAATATAAAACGCATAAATCCATCCTGATGGTATAATGGTGTGGGAGGTGTTTTTTGTTTTGTTTTGCTAACACTCTGTGCCCCTTAATATCAATTTAGCATTGTTTAAATGACACAACATAGTTGATTATATTGGCTGGCCATGTCCATCCCTGTTAGAACACAGTATACCCATACTATGATAGCTGCTTCCTGCAGAAGAATGCACCACGTTACAAAGGCTGCATTTACACTGTAGATCTTGATGACCAATTCAGATTTTGAACCATATTTGTAAAAGATTTTGATAAGTTTTAACTTGTGTCCGATATCTCCATTTACACTATACATGGTAGAAACACATCGAACCGACAGAAAAAGGCGCCCATAGACACTGATTGATAGCTGTGATAATAAAAGAGCACTCTTTGCTTCATTCCTGTATTTAACCTGTCTGCAGGATTTAATATACGTTTTTGGCTTTTTTCCTATGTAAGTAGCATCCTTAAGCATTGTGTAAATTCTCTCTCTCTCTCTCTAAACTGCCGTCAAGCATATATTTTGACGAGTTGATTTATAGTTTACAACAGAGAAGAAAAAAAAATGACTTTACATTTGGCCATCTTAATACATAACATTTACAATATTTTTTCATTAAAATATTAGAACAAAAACACTAGAACAGTGTTATATAGTTTGCTGACTTTTGTACCTAAATTATCCAAAGTGTTTTAAAGAATGTTACATCTAGAGAAAGAAGCAATTTTTCTAGTTTTAGTATTTTTAATTTTATTCTAATCCCTGTGGCCATGCTAATGACATCACACTTAATCTCAGATTTTTATATTGAAAAAAAATGTAAACATCAAAGACACTTTGATCACTGCCTTATCTTCAACAAAAAGCCTCTGTTTTCTACAGAATGACAAACCATGTGCTCAACAATGACTGAAAACACTTAATGACAATTTGGGAAAAAGGTATCCAGAATGCAGTAAGGATGAGGAATGGAAAAGTATTTTGTCAAACACTGGTAAATATGTAAGAGAAGCTAGAGGACAATTTACTCAAAGAAAATTATACTAGGTTTTACTTCACACCTGTTCGACTCAATAGAATGGGTTTGTCAAATAATAAAGTTTGTTGCAAATGTAAAAAAAAAAAACACATTTATTCATTGTATTTTGAACTGTTCACTAGTTCAGCCTTTTTGGCACCAAATCTGAGTAAATGGCTTGGAACATTAATGCCACTGTGAACAAGGTTATGCTTACTGGGATATAGAAAACAGATTCCAATTACTACAAAAGGACAAAGTTGACAGTGATCGTGGTGGGGATTTCAGTGACAGCTAGAGTCATCTTAAAACTGTGTAAAACTCCCAAAATTTCAGAGTTAAAAGAAAGAGTCAATATAATGACTAAAACAGTTTAGTATGAATGTTTACTTTTCAAATTACATAAGGACAGAGCAGGGGTCCCTGTATGTATCCCAGTGTGGGAAGACTTTTGGTCTTATCTGACGATGTCTTGTAACGCATTTTAAATTACTCACTGGGTTTTCTTTATAATATTGTACTTTTTTTCCAACTTTATACATCCTGGCTTTACATATATTAGCCCTACCAGTGATCATTTGTAACTTGTATTTGCATTTTTTTGTCATGAACCAAACGAACACACTAAAAAAACATGAATAAAAAAGTGGTGTGTATTATTTGACTGCACAGAGCAGAATTATAACAGAACCCTAAAATGTATTTAGTATGATGAAACATGGCTGTGTTTCCACGTGATTATAAGCAAAAAAAAACCTGAAGCAATGGACTGTGTCATGATAAATGCTCCGCTGCTTTTGTCACACTTGTTTCTCATCAGCAATTGCTTCATCATCTTCATTTCACTTTGATGCCATATTATATATTATATATATATTATATACTGCCATATTAAGTGTTGAATACTTTAGCTTATCCATGAACAAAAATCCTGTAGGATATAATGATGACCACAACTCTTATGAGTTCACACACAGTCATCAAATTATGCCTTTGTTTATTGTTAATTTGTACCCTCTAGTGGTCAAAACTACATACTGTGCCATTAATATAGGCTTTTTTGAGCAGTAAGCATTTAAAAGTTATGTCCAGATGGTGTGATTCATGCACAACTTCACTGAAATAGTAGTTTGTTCACTTGATGCATGCAATAGTTTCATATTGCTTATACAACAGATGCTCTCTCTCTTACGCAATACTCTCAGCGTCAGAGTTGACGTTATTCCCTACCATTTTTCAATACCAAATGATTCACATTGACAGGTGAATATCTGATCTACCTGCTTACACTGCAGACGCGAATGCACATATCAGATTCACATCAAACTTATTTACACATATGAATGAGGACTGAAATTGATCTGAGTTTATCGGAATCCATGTGATATATTTCAGGCCTACAAGTACATGGGCCTTATCCCATTTGTGCCATATGAAAGACAAGAAAAAAAAAATCCAAATTGGGTCACTTGAACCTTGTAATGTAAGTGCATGACTTCACTATGCTCAAATGTCATCAATCCTAAGATCTCAAAGCAATTGGAGCACCTTTGGGAAATGTTGAAACAGGAGATTTGCATCATGGATATGCAGCCAACAAATTTGCAACAACAGTGTGATGCTCATGTCAATATTGTAACAGGGGTGTAACAGATCACAAATCTCACAGTTTGGATCACATTACGGGTTTTAAGTCACAGATTCGACCGTTTTTCCACAAAGAGGAGAAGACAAATGTAATTTGCTTTTCATTTATCACAAAAACAGTACTGCAAGACACTTTTTGGTTTTAACAAACAGAACTTCAAACCTGTAGTTTTATTAAAAATAAAAAGAAGAAATTATCAGCTGAATGCAAATAACTTATAAACTCAGTACTGTGAAAAATTCACTGTTACTACTACTGTTGCTGATAACACTAAATGTATAAAGTGTATATTATTTAGAATAAAATATATATTTAAATGTATATTTACTCTCATTTTCAATAAAAAAATTCAGTTATTCAATCATAAAACTTTATGTTTCATGTTTCTAGATCTTTCTAGAAATGAACAGTTATCTTACATTTATAAAAAGAACTTTCAGTGGCATATTTTTGATTGCTGATTGTCACCACCTATCAGTTAAATAATGTACATAATTGCTACCTACAACTTTAATTTTTAAGTGTTGTTAAATGCATATGACAATGATTTTAAACTTTACCATAAACATCAATGGTTTTATCTAAACTATAATCTTATTTCAGTACTTCTGTGCTATTTGACAGTTTGCAACTTTAAAACTAACTCAAAAGACGAAATCAGTTAGGATTAATGACAGTAAACATGTCAGCCTAAATAATTAAAATGAATCATTGACTTCTGCTGTCTTCATTAGTTTCAAAAATACTGATTTCTTTACAATTTAAAACGGCATCTTTGAATATTTTTTTCTGCTAGAGATTCTGTTGTCATAAAAAAACTTAAAACAACAACAACAAAAAAAAACTGCTTAGGAACGGTATAGGAGAAAATTCTGACAGTTTTAAAACCTTGACTTTTCTAAACCGCGGTATACCTCGAAAATGGTTATCGTCCTATGCCTAATGCAAATCACTGTCATTTATAATTTATATTGCGTGGGTGTTGAGATCCCGATCTTTAATTGATTAATCGTGCAGTTTACACTACAGTAAATGCATTAATGCAGGCTAAACAAGTAGAGAAAACACCTTTAATAACCTAGGAAACCCACCACATCCCAAATAACCTACCGCAACTTCTTCCGTCATCATTAGATTTTACATGAAAGCCTAAATGCTTTCACACATGCGGTTTGAATGACACGAGAGGTGATCTCTTTGCAATTGTTACGAATTTAGGATTATTCTACAAGTAAAATTTTTTTATTAATCTGCGAACCACGTGTGTTCCGAACTGTAGGTTGTGATCCGTATGAATTACGAACCGTGATCCATTACACCCCTAGTCAATATATACTAAATCTCTAAGGAATGTTTAGAGCACCTTATTGAATCTGGCACAAAGAAATAAGCCAGTTTTAACAAAATTGAGTCTAGCCTGGTACTAAAAAGGTGCACCAAACAAACTTTAAATAATTTTTATTAAAGAAAAAGGTATATTATAATAAACAAAGGGACAATATAATTTGAAGATACTGGCATCAAACACCCTGCTGTAAATCAGCACTTTTCTTCACTGAGACAGCAGAACACATAAGCTTAATTATGTGTCGCTCTACAGCTAAATGTCATCACCTTCCACTCATCAGTTACCAAACATGCATGAGAACAGGTTGTGCTCACCTGATGTACCGTCCCATCAATTTCCACTGGAATGATAAAGTCAGCATTGTTTACTGGCTGAGAAAAGAAAAGAAAAAAAAACAGATTTACGTGCTGGAAGCAGATCGAAAAACTCATATAAATCTATTTTACAGACAACTGGGTCAATGACTGACATGAGGTGTAAATATCTAGCGGATTCCAATCATTTTGACAACATTGCCACACAGCCTGTGAGTGATATTAGGATAGGTCCAGAAACTCAATCTCAAATGTTGAGATAATCACGTTTATGAGTTGCAGAGACATCAGGACAGTGTGACCTACATTTACAAACAACCAGATGAAGCAACATTAAGGGGTCCAATTCTTTAAGACCATGCTTGTTTTACTCTCTTTAAAAGCAAGAGTTCTCCATGAACATGAAAACATCATTAATTATTCAATACATTTATTCCTGTATGACTGTCCATCTGCATGCTGTTCATTTTCTGTGAAACACAAAAAACTTGTTTGCACTACTAATCCTTAATGAAAATAGCATCTGTTAACCTTAAAAAAAGAGCTGAAACACAACATAAATTTGTTATAAAAGCTATTCATTTGATTAGTATAGTATTTTTATGTATTAGTCCAACACCAACATATTTGTTCATTTCCTTTCCTAATCTTTATACTTTGAAAGATCCTTTAAATCAGTTTTTTACTAAATTTATCAGCAAGAAATACTACATATTATTTAAATAAAAACTTTGTATGGTCACCTTTATACATTTCATCAAGTGCAGGTTAAAAAAGTTTGGTTTCATTTTTAGATAAATAAATCCCTTAAAGTACACTGAATGATGATGGAGAATTGTTTCACTGACAATTTTGACTTCAAGCAAGCTAATGGAACATTAAAAGTGGACATTTTTGCATTTAAAGATTTTTCTATGTACACTACCCCACAAAAGTCTTGTCATCAATCCCAGTTTTGAGAGCAACAAATAATAACTTGACTTCTAGTTGATCATTTGGAAAAGTGGCAGAAGGTAGATTTTTCTCATGAATCATCTGTTGAACTGCATCCCAATCATCACAAATACTGCAGAAGACCTATTGGAACCTGCATGGACCCAAGATTCTCACAGAAATTAGTCAGGTTTGTTGAAGAAAAAATCGTGGTTTGGGGTTACATTCAGTATGGGGGCATATGAAAGATCTGCAGAGTGGATGGCAAGATCAACAGCCTGCGGTATCAAGACACTTGTGACGCTCACTCCTGCTCATACTTCAGCCTCCATATCAAAGTTTCTGAAAGCAAAAAAGCTTAAGGTGCTCCAGGATTGGCCAGCCCAGTCACCAGACATGAACATTATTGAGCATGTCTGGGGTAAGCTGAAGAAGGAGGCACTGAAGATGAATCCAAATAATCTTGATGAACTCTGGCAATCATGCAAGGTTTTCTTTGCCATTCCAGATGAATTTATTAATAAGCTGTTTGAGTCATTGCAGAGATGTATGGATGCAGTCCTGCAAGCCCATGACATTATATTTTATACTGTACATTATTTCTGTTATGTGACAAGACTTTTGTCTAAGCAATGTCAGACCTTACGGTCCTAATTAAGTAATTAAAATCAAGGAATGATGATCTTTTATTTTGGTAAAAATAAGCGTGATCTAGAGGCCTTTGCCTTGTGTATAAGCTACTTCTGATGCCAAATGATCAACTAGAAGTTATTATTTGTTGCCCCTAAAACTTGGATAGACAACAAGATTTTGTCAGGTAATGTATATAAATTCACTTAAATGGTATTTGATCACTGAAATTAAGATTTTTTTAAAGATATTTTAATATTTTAATGCAGACTCGAAATCTGAAATCTCTTTGAAATGTTTTTTTTTTTTTTAAGTTTGTGGATAAACTACTAACCATGATTTCTCTGAAAAATTTGTAACAACAACAAAAAAACACTTATATATTTAATGTACTCAATATACATTCCCTTTTTTGAGTATAATGGATTGTCAAAGTCAACAGCAATGTTACACTCCCATGAGGAAACTTTTTTTTCTTTCTGGCTTCCCCAAATTGTGCACATATTGTCTTTATGATGTCCTTCAGCAGGAGAAGCAAATCTTTTATTCTGAATCAAATCATGCATTAGCCACTATCTACAGTGCATGCATACATGTAAAATCTTCCTAAAACACAACCACTGGCTGCTCAAATAAGCTTACTTGTATTTGATAACTCAAAAAATTTGAATATAACGCGCATGTCTAATATATTAAAAAGTCAATTTTGCAAAGGGTGACTTGTAAACACACTTCCTCTTTTGTTCTTAGTTGTCAAGCATGTTGCTGGACAGTGCATGCACTCAAACATTATTACATTGTGAAAGACTTAGGCGGACATATTGCAATAGTTTAAACCAATCTACAAAATGTGCTCCAAAGTATTCGGGACTGCTGTGACCAATTGGTGTTTCAAATGGTTAACTAGATTACATGCTTCCCGAAGCAAAGGTCTTGTCCTAAACCAAGGCACTTGTTGAGTTTTCATGTTGCACCGCTAAAAACAAAAAGTCTCACCCACAGCGTTTTACACTTCTCTGGGAAATTAACATTAAATATATATATATATATATATATATATATATATATATATATATATATATATACGCATATTAAAACTAGAACTACCAAAGCAGTCATTTTAAACGCTTTTTAATTTATGCAATTTAACAAATTTGTTAAAATAAAACGCATATATCTATAGTACCCTGACATTTCATAAATGTGTGTATATTAATTCTAACCTTTTAGATTATCATTTTAATAAAATAAAAGAGTAATATTTTGAGTATTTCTACATTGAATGGCCATTACGTTCAATTTGACCACATCCACTTTAGCCTCTAATAGTTTTTCTTGTTCCTTTGACTAAAATATGACAATAGACCTTGAAAGCTCAAATCTAAAATCTTTATAGGATCTTTGATGTTGAATATGATGTAACAAAAATTGAATATAGTACAGTCTTATATGAACAGTCTGAATGACCATTCAAGTAATTATGAAGTGCTGGCAATTCCTGTGTTACAGAACGATAGCAAGCAATTATTTATTAAATGAATCAAAGGAGAAAAAAAAAAAAAAACGTTTGTTTCGGCTGTGTGCCTTCATCAGGTAATGATTCTTTAATTCTTGCTGCATAAAGGTGATGTAAGTTTGACACCCAGTGGTTGAACTAGGTATTGCATTCATGGTTCAAAACACATCCAAGCGCAGGTTGCCAGACTGACGATACAGAAAAGTGCCTGACTAACGAGCCTAAATTCTGATTTAAACCGTGTTCTAAACTAAAGCAACGACAAGTGATAGAAGCAATATTTTCCATATTAAAAGTTTTTGTTCTAATCAACACCTGAAATTTATATTTTAGAAATCGTTTCTATTTCTTGCACCTGAACAACAGAAAACTGACAATGATTATCTCAGGTACACCTCATGTGCTTTATTCAGTGTTAAATGCTAATAATGTGATTTTGAATGCCATATTACATGACATTTATAGCCATATACTGAAAGCAGCAGCAGATAGCTCACCTCAGATCTTGAAAATAAAAGAAACCATTTGAAACTGAACTTAAGAACTGTGACTCACTACAAGCCAACACACATCAGTGATTCAGCATGTACATTTAATAATGTTAAAGAGGTTTAATATGCATTAATTAGATTATAAACCTTACCATTCCGTTGGAGTGCAGTGAGTGTACTATTCTGTGCTTCTGAATGGCTGTATATAAATTTCTGTCGTATTTCGTCTGGTGCAAACAGCCAAATTGCTCATCAATGCAAATCTCATCATGTAGCATGTTGTTAGGACACAGGGCTACAATGTAACCAGCTAACCAATAACATTCGTAATATTTATATAATTTACCAATTAATATCCACCTCATGTGGAACTCTGAATCTGTGTCTCCTTTATAATGTTTCTTAAATATCTCCAAACAGATTATGATGTTTTCATGCTTTAGAAGAGTCAAAAACGTACATACAGCACCCTTAAATATTCAATAATTTCAGGTGTTCACAAGTGTTAGTAACATTGTGAAACAAATTGTTGATCTCATTTGTTTTAATTCTTAATTAAAATCAAAATGTCATACATCAGAAAGAGAGAAGAACTTCTTCGTTTCTTGTCATTTGAAGAAATTAGGTCACAATACCAAACTTATCTGGTAGAGTGTAGTGACTTACATTTAATTGAATAAATAGTATACAATAATTGAACGATAAATTGAAGAAATGGTTAACTCAAAAACTGTAAACTCTGTTGTCATTGCTCACCCTTATTTATACGCACGCATACACACACACGAAATTTTAAAACATTTTTATCAATGAAAGTTAAAAACAAAAGGGGACCATAGTGAATATAATTATGTAGTAAAAATAAAAAAAACAAAACTGAAATATTCACAAAATAATTTACAAAAGAAATGCTTAGAAATGAAAAGAAAAGTTCACAAGATGAGTCAAATTTCACCTTATTTATATATTTAAGTAAGCTAAACCTTTGAGCCTGGACAAGATAAAACATTTTAGCATCAAATAATGAATTAAGTTTTAAAGTTTTGATGTAAACACAAGCAATGTTGCTTAACGCCAGTATAATGTTTGACTCAAGTGTATCCATGGCTATGATAAGGTTAGTTAGGTTGCCAACAGCATGATATAAACTCACACCTGCTACCAGCTATAAACCAATAAGAAAAAAAAAAATAACTCAACACATTGGCCTACCTTGAATGAACTGTGGACTAGTGTTTCATCCAGATCAATTACTACGCAGATCTTCCCTACATCTTTAGACTTTATCTGTGGAAGAAGTGGTTTGGCTGGGACCTGTAATAAAAGTTCAAGGACATTGGTAAATAATTAACCAAGGTGGCATTTGAAACAAGAAGTTGTTTTACATTTAAAACACAGTACACATTATATACATTACCTATAAGAACATACAACTTGCACATAAGAAATACTAAGACTCCATGAGTCTCCTCTAATGTGCTAGTAGACAAGAAATCTAGTTTTATAAGTAATACGTGTACAGCTGGTTGCTATGAAGGCATGTACTGTATTGCAGACAGTAAAATGTGTCAACCGGCAAAGATTTTATTTGATATTCTATATGTTTATATGAGGAGCTATCAGTGGACAGAGCGGTTTCAAGTTCTTCACGTGTGAGAGCGGTAAAGTCACATGGAAAACTGTAAATATATATGACGTCTCCAGAAATTGAGAAAAAGCAAGCAACAACTGCACTAAAACTAGTTGAGCTAACTATGATGCCAAAATTGGATGGTATTAGTTTATTAGTAAATCTCCTATTATTTTAGTTTCTCTTATTTCCACATATGAATGAGGCCTGAAACAGATCGGAGTTTATCGGAATCCATGTGATATGTCTCCTGCTTACAAGTAAATGGGCCTTATTCCATCTGTGCCACATGGGAGACAAGAAAAAGATCAGAATTGAGTCACTTGGACCTTGTAATTTAAATGCAGCCAAAGAGCATGACTTCACTGTACTCAAATGACACCAATCCTAAGATATCAAAAACTTTAGGGTCCGTAAGATTTTTACAATTTTCTTGTTTATTAAGGCTGCATTTATTCAACTGTCTCCAAAATGCAGCAATATGAATTCTTATAACATTTTGCATGTTTTTAATTTAATATATTTCTAAAAAAAAAAAAAAAATTTCCGACAGCATATCTGTATTTTTAGCATTACTTTAGATTTTAGTGTCACATGATCATTTATAAATAATTTAAATTAGCTGATTTTCTGCTCAGTAAGCATGTAGTATTGTTGTTGTTGTTGTTGTTGTTATTATTATTATTATTTAGGGACGTCCAGATCCGATAACGTTAACTGAAATCGGGACAGTTCACACAGTTTCAGACTTGATCGTTATTGGACATTACCTCCCGATCAGGACACGAATATATATGTATTTGTATATATATAAATTATCATTATTTTTGAACACATCTATAGTTATGTGGTGGCACAAAGTTAGACCTTTTTCTTGACTTCACATTGAAACAGCACCAGGTGCGACACGGAAGCTGCTTGAAGTAGAAAGCGTGAGTATGTCTGCACTCTCGAGGTATTTTAATAAAGTTAATGACAAAAACATTGCCAACATTGTGAGATATGTAAACTTGGGATTGTCTGCCGGGTATTTTAAGTCGTGATATTTGTTTTTATATTAGTTTTTTAAAAATATTTACTGTTGCACTTAAGTCCAAAAGTGAAGAATTTATGTTGTTACTTGATTGTTCAAGCTACGTCACAGAAGTGTTCTGTTTGTTAACAGTGACTTGTTGAATGTTAAAATTCGGTGAATTAAATAAAAAATAAGGAACATCCTGGATCTGTTTCCTCGCTCTTTTTTTTTACATTTTTTATGTATTAAATAAATATCAGTTCGAGTTTCAGTATCAGTAGAAACTCGAAAAATCAAATGACTGCGACTCGAGGGCAAAAAAACCTGATCGGGACATCCCTATTATCATTATTATCACTGCTTAAATATTTTTGTGGAAACTCAAAATTATTTAATAATATAAAGTTCAAATGAAAAACTTTTATTGTGAATAATTTAGTATACCCTTGCTCAAATAATAATAATAATAATCAAAAATGATGGGGTGATGCCTCACAGTAAGAAGGTCGCTGGTTTGACCCCCCGCTGGGTCAGCTGGCATTTCTGTGTGGAGTTTGCACATTCTCCCTGCATTCACATGGGTTCCTTCCGGGTGGTCTAGTTTCCCCCACAAGTCCAAAGACTTGCAGTACAGGTGAATTGGGTAAGCCTAATTTGCCGTAATGCAAGTGTATGATTGAGTGTGTATGGGTGTTTCCTAGTAATGGGTTGCAGCTGAAAGGGCATCCTCTGGGTAAAACATATGCTGGATAAGTTGGCAGTTCATTCCACAGTGGCAAACCCAGATTAATAAAGGGACTTACTCTATACTATAATATATAATATAATTCACAAACACCATGATAAGATTCTGGTCAAACGGTCCATCCTAAAGTGGGTGTATTAGTAATAGACTAGACTATCCATAAGGGGGCATTAGGTAGTTCTTTTAGCACTAGCATTCCATGAGCAGCAGATGATCTAGTGACTGACTGCAGCTGCGGTTTGCGATTGCACTTCTTCATCAGAAAGTACACAGTGAACACACTGTCTGAAACTAACTCTACGCTTGCAGCATGAGCATCTCAAGACCTACAGGCTCTTCCGGATTCATTACCAAGTCAGAAAGTGTACAGTTGACTCTGATTTAAATAACATAGCATATGACATGGAACAAGAACCCAGCATGGAGTCCTATTTTAGTTCTGTTGCTACTGACTTCATACTAATTAAGATGTGAAAAATGATGCCAAGAATGTTTGGCAACTTAAAACAGACGAATGCATTTATAACCAAGAAACTCGTTAATACTCATCTAGTGTTGCCATAATTCTTAGTTTTGATGTAAACTATGGTAAATTTTCTGACTGTTAGTATTACCGTTTTAAATATTCATTATCATCAAAACTATGATTGATTATTGCAATTTTGAAAACACTGCAGTTAGCTGTTATATAAATGCATGATTATATAGGCAGTTAAGAAATGCAATACAGTTAAATGATGTACTCCTTGTACTCCTTACATTTAGGCCCCATTTACACTAATGCGTTTTCGTTTTAAAACGCATAAGTTTTGCTACGGTTATGCCATCCGTCCACACTACGCCGGAGTTCTCGAGCACCGAAAATGGAGCGTTTTGAAAACGCTGGGGAGGCCGTTTTCATTCTAAACACTGCTGCACCGTCTCAGTGTGGATGAGGAAAAACGGAGACATATGAAAACGGAGGCGGGACTGCTGAGATTCGCTACCTGATTGGGGCTTTTGTGTCATTGCGTATTCTTCCCTTATTCGTCAAGCCACTATCACATGACTATAACACATGGCTTTACCTCTACCAGAAGACAGTACGGAAACAACAACATGGGCACAGAAATGGGAGCGTTGTTTGCACTATTGTCTGTTTTAGGCGCCATTGTGCAGTTATTCATTTGTTACGTTTAGTAACAACTCGACCTCATCGTCTGTTCACAAAAATACCTCTCTTGCTTTCTTTGCTATCGTGTTTAATGTTCAACCGGTGTTTGTTGACTAACAATAACCAAATTCCGAGCAAGACAAATGCTTTCTGTTTATACTAGAATGCGCATGCCCTGAGTGCGCGAATGGTCACGTGATATACGTTTCTGGTGGCGTAGTGTGGACAGAGATATGTTCAGAGATGCTAGGTGAAACGCTGGTCTGGACGCGGATAGTTTTTGATCTAAAACGCCGCTTTAAAACTAAAACGCACTAGTGTAAACGGGGCCGTAAACTGTGTGTTAAACATTATTAAGAACACAGATAAGGCTTGACTTCAAAAGCTAAATTGCTAATCAAATCACAATATCAGTAAGAAAAAATAAAAATAACAATTACTTTTTTTGTCCAATCACACAAACATTTTTGTATGGAACATAATCAATTTTGCAATAAAGGTAATGATTCGCTCTCAATTGCTTCGTAATGTTTTTATTTTTTTACATTTTACTGGTGATTAAAAGACACAGAAGGGCTTTGTGCCGAAATTTCTGTGTCTTTTAATCACCCATAAAATGTAAGAAAATAAAAACAGTACGAAGCAATTGAGTGCGAATCAATACCTTTGTTGAAAAATAGCATTAATAGATTGACGCACCAAACCAAAGGAGTTCCTAAAAAACCGCAAGCACGCAGGGCAAACTTCAGTTAACTCTGGAACATAATCAACGCCAAAAGTATTGAAATGGAAGCTTGTTGAATAGCACAAACTAAAAAAAAAACAATACATTGAGTTGACAAGGGCTTGCATTTTAATGACTTGTATTGCCAGGGTTTGTATCTTTGGGTCATAAAATTTAACATAGCTGTTTATTTAAGCTGTTAATATTTCAACTAAAAATACTCCAAACACATTTTTATATACTTATAAATTCAATACTTCAAAATCAACTTCCAGATTTTACTAGAAAAATATTCAGTTCTGTTTAAAAATACAATGTTTAATGTTCAAACGTCAATTTTCAGTTCATTTTATTTCTGTTCAAAAATCTGCCTCATAAATTCAGTGGCCCAAATTCAGCTGGTAAAATTCAACATTACATCCAGGTACTGCACAAAAAAAGACAAAGTAATTGATTGCAGATTAAAAATGTCCAGCTGCTTTTTCACCAGCAGGTGGAGATGGACCACTTTAAGATTTTTAAACCACTAAATAGGCGAAAAAAGGCCAATAATGGCACTAAAGTAGCATTTAATTATAATATCAACATCTTAGACATTACAAGTAATAAAATTAGAATGAGTAAAATTAGTAAGATTTTTTGAACATTTATATTTGCCCTAATGCAGGGATACTCAACTAGCTGGGCCGCTAGATAGCTTAAAATGAACTCTCAATATTCTACTATAATTTTTGGATTTAATTATTAATAAGCTATAATAACTTTAAAAAACTAATAACTAGAATGATCGCTGTAATGCACTCTCCTGTTTTCTGACTGATTACTTCAAACAGCCTCATGATTGCTTCTGCACAGTTTGTTCTTTCACAAACTATGCATGGTGAAAGTGAAAGTCTTTCTTTGTGTATTTTGATGTGAACTATTAGCGAGGCTCAATGGAGTTTCTGCCACAGAATGTAAATTAAACCTGCATATGAGCTTTAGACCCTCTCTCTGGCGAAGCTGTTCACTTTTCCTGTCAGCGATCTCCCAATACTATACACTCAACCGCTATCAAATTGATGCGATTCAACAGATTTAGAGTGTTTTACTGTATTTTACTTTTGTCTGGGTATTTTTGAATAGTAGATATTTAAAAGTCAGTCCAGTTTAAAGCAGAAGCTAGTCTTTTGCAATCTCCCTGTTGACCTGTGGTTCTCTTTGAATCTGCCCATGTTTTTATTTGTTTTATGTTATTTTATTTGTTGTTTTGTATAGGTTTTATTTTAATAAATAAAGGTTTAAATGAGCATTTTAAACAAACATTTTAAAGAAAATGTCAGACAGGTGGGCTTTCAAAAATTGATCGGAGAAAGAAGTGGGCCCCCAAGTGAAAAAGGTTGAGAGCCCCTGCCCTAATGTAATGTCAAATTTTACCAGATGAATTTGGGCCACTGAAATTTATGGAAGCAAATTTTTAAACTGAAATAAAATGAACTAAAAATTGCCATTTGAATAGTATACATTGTATTTTTAAACAAAACTGATTATTTTGGAAGTGAAATCAGGAAGTTCAATATGAAGTATTAAATTTATAAGTATGAAAAGTTTGGGGTATTTTTTGTTGAAATATTATTCACAGCTTAAATGAACAGCTATGTTAAATTTCATGACGCAAAAATACAAACCCTGGCAACTCATTAAAAGTCATTAAAATGCAAGTAGTTGTTAATTCAGAGTATTATTTTTTAAGCTTTTTATTACCATACTTTTGGCATTGATTTTGTTCCACATTATTTGCTTTTATAAAGCAGCTTAATGTATTTTTGCGAAAAACAAAAAGTAAACATGAAGGGTAGTTTTCCAAATGCAGATTTCAAAGCAATAGCTAAGACAATAGAACCTATAGAAACTATAGAAACAAGTAAACAAATTCAAAATTGCAGTGATCCAGGGTTATGCTGCCACAAAACTGCATAAAGCTGAAAATTATATTTCTGCTTGTTTATTTTCCACCAACAAAACTCGGTGGAATGCCTTAAGTGTATGTGTGACACTTATTTTTGAACATTTTCTGCTCATTTAACCAAAACCATGATAATATTAGTAATAATACATGTGTTTTCTATAATGTTGATATTAAATTATGCTTGACTATCAAATTAATGCATATAACAGACATTTCAACATGCTTTTAACTCCCAAAATGTATCAGCAAGATCCTCAACTAAGAGAAATGTACCTGATCTGTTGGCGGAACACAGATTTCACAATCGCAGTCTTCTGAGAACTCTTCATCTTCAGAAGATTCACTGTCCTCATAAGAATCACACTGTTCACCTGTCTTTTTTTGGTCAGACTTACAGATTGCCTCTTGTTCAGATGCTTCACTTCTTGCAACTTGATGTATAAGTTCCTCTAATTTTTCATTTGGCTTAGTCTGCTCAGCCAGGCCACCTACTGCAGGAGAATTAAGGAGCTCAGAGGTGTCTTTTGGCTCGGTGTCCAGACTATCCGATACACAAGGAGTACTTGTTTCTGTGTTTGAAAGTTCCTCAATAGTGCAAGAGAGCTGTGGATCATTAGTTGGTATCACTTCACCATCATCACTTTCGTCTGAACATCCCACAAGATCTTCAAAACCAAACAGAGATGTTTCTTCATCTTCCGAAGTTTCAATCTCTCCACAACAAGGTCCATGAGCTCCCTCATTTTCAAAGTCAGGACAAAACTCTCCATTAACATCGATTTCATCTGCAGATCTGAGATCTTGTACACTGCCTTCATTCTCTGACCTGTTGGTCAAATTCTGATTGGCCAAATTTTCCAACAATGTACTCTCTTCATCTGGTGAATCTGAAGAATCGGCTGCTTGAAATGTTTTCTCTCCAGCGCACAATCCTGTGGAATCTCCAGATACACTGACAAAAGCATTTTCAATCCCTTCAAGTCCATAACAGTCAACGACGGAAACACCAGAAACTTGGTCTTCAGCTATCTCTTCATTTTGGAGGCAAAGTTCATTGTCCTTGCCCTCATAATATACCATGAAACCTTCATCCATAAGATCAGGCAGGTTATGATCATTTTCAACTTCATGGATTTGCTCAGATTCAGTGGGGAGTCCGAATGCCACAGCTTCAGCATAGGTTTTACTGCTTTCCCTTTCTGTAAGTTCTTCAGAATCAATCTCACATGCTTCTTCACAAGCATCTAACTTTTCTTGTGAATACATGTCACAGTTCTTATTAACTTCATCTGGTTGCACATTTTGAATCAAGGGCTCATCGTCCTCTGTAAGAAGGTTTTCCTTATCACATGGCTGATCTGGGAAGATATCAAAAGATTCAGACTCGTCAATAAAACTCTTGAATGAATCGGTTTCAGAGCTGCTTTGACTTTTGCCATCCAAGCAGTCGCCATAGTCCTCTTCACTCGACTCATCTGAAGAACCTGCTGTTGTGGTCACTGCATCCAGAGAGATGTCCACACTTGAGTGGAGATCAGAATGCTGAGGAGATTCTTCATTACAACATACGCCCTTCTCCAGCTCTTCACACTTTCTACAAAGCTTCCTAGGGTTATCCAAAGGTTGAACTTCTTGCATTAAATCTATAACTCCAGGAGTTTCTACCTCTTTATTAGACTCCCTGTTTTCAGCAGCATGACTTAAACTTTCCTCGTTGTGTCTCAAAAGATCAGTAAGAAATTGAGACAGCCAGCGAGCCTCAAAGGTTTCCATTGATCCGGAAAACATGGCATCAGACTCAGGTGGTTTCTTAAAGTTAGTTCTGCTACTACGGTTAGGCAAATTCTCTTTGTTTACTTCAGAGTTGTGAAAAAAAGAGCTGTGTGTTTTTGATGACTCTAGGCAGCTTTCTGTAGGTCTGCTTTGATGTGGTCTCTCAGAATTGTCAGTGGGCACAGAGGGAGGGCATTGTTCACGGGCATCACATTTCTTAAAGTATGATCCACAGCTTGTGCACTGTTCTAAAGCCTCAAAACACACAGAGGATTCGCTGTGCTCAGAGAGTTGGTTGCAGTCTTGATGTTCTTCAGACAGCGAGTTAAAGCTCCCAGACGGACAAGTGCAATCATCTAGGCTGTTAGGCAGAACTCCATCATCAGCGGTGTCCATTTGCCCCATAAGCTGCGTGTCCACAAGGGACACACAGTGGTCAGATGGCTTACTTTCTTTAGAGTCCTGACACAGTTCAGGGGATTCAAAATGTGTGGCATGGTATTCATCAAGCTTGTTTTGATTGTTAGGCTCGGACGGTTTAGATGTTTCGCAGTCTTCAGAATCTAGTTCAACTGCATAGTTTTGTTCAGATAGGTTGTCTTCAGAACTATCATTTTCACACTCTCTATACTGTTCCTGATATTCTGCATCACATTCAGAAAGCGTTTCATAATCTAAAGGATCTAACGGATTAGGCTCCACATGACCTTGTTGAAATGAATCACTAAGATCTTCCTGTTCTGCAGCATCTTGATCAACTAAGCTCATCTCGGATAAATCGATTTCTTCATCATCTTGATGAAAGCTCACAAACTCATAAAGATCTGGGCTCATCTCAGATGCATCTAACGGTTCTTCATTATGCTGCTCAAAAGAGTCACAATCATCTAGTATCATCTCAGGTAAAACGATCTGTTCTGAATCATCTTGTTGAAAAGACTCGCAATCGCTTAGGCTTACCTCTGATAAGGTTAACTGCTCTTCATCGTGTTCAGAAAACTCACTTTGATCGCTCGGATCAAATGTAATACTAAGTTCATCATTTTGGCTCATTTCAACCAAGTCAACTGAAGAACCGCTTGCTTCAAAAGACTCACTGTGCTCAGAGCAGCTGTCCAACAAAGAGCTGTATCCAGATGAACCAGACTGATCTGAAAATTCACCATTAATGCGGCTATTTTCAATGCAAAGTCCATCAACTTCATGCAACTTAATGGTGCTTTGGTCAATAGGTGTATCTTGTTCAGCGCACGATTCTGCAGCACGTTCCAAAGACTGGTCTTCCTTTTTAGGATCTCCTTGTCCTGAGACCTCAGAATGGTCAAAGCACAGCTCTGCAGGCATGTTTACCTCAGCGTGCTCGCTTTTAAAAAATGCAGATGATTCCAAGTATTTAGTGATGTTGCTTTCGACAAAAGACATCCGTTCTCCAAAACATCGGCAAAGGTCAGAAGAAGGGAAACACTCCAAACATTCTCCCATAGGTTTACTTTTTCTACAGATCCTGCAGCTCTGTGTTTGCAGAGGGGGCTCGCAAGGCTGAAGGGATTCGTTGAGCCCACAGCCTGCCTGAGACACCAGCAGCAATGTGCACGTTGACATGACAGAGGGGTTGAGACTCTACTGAACCCTGCACTCAGCCCGCCTTCAGGACACCTACCGATTTATTTTGGTGCTTCAGAGACGTGACAAATAACTCCTGCTGTATCAAATCACTATAAAAAGCTGAAGTAAGGCATAAATCTGAAACCGACACCAACAGAGACTTGATACCAGATCTGCTCATAGTTGTTTGTCGCCATGTTTTTATTCCCGCCAATAATTAGCTAAATAAAATCAAGAGTGGCTACTTTTTTTTCAATATTTTCCTATCGGCTTTCATTTAGTTGGGAGTTTTGAGAACAGACAGCTTTAGTGTGCTTAATAAATTAACAGAGTTGACTTAATGGTGTCTGCACAAATGCAGATTAGGTTAATACATACTACGGCTTATTCAATGATAAGAGCTCGTAAACAGGAAAAGAATTGCGCAAAAACTAACATGGGGTTTCAGTTTCCTCACTATCACAGCTGATCATGTGTCTCTCCCCTGTGTTAACCACGAACTGGCCAGTGTTCATACAAAATCTAGAGAGTACAGGGTGGAGAGGTAGCACTACATCCAAATAAGTACTAGTTACCAAAACCAACATAAACTCTTACTTTAGAGATGGTTCCATTTTCTTCCACCAGCAGTGGGGCGTTATTATTGACAGGCACGTGATCCGTTTCATCATGACACAGGCAGCAGAAGAGACTGTGGAAAATCCCACGACTGCGTGGTTTCTTCGATGAGGATGCAGCATGTGGAGGGGTACCTGAGAAACAAGCACATCATATCACATCACATCTACCCTGGTGTTCACAGTCATATATCTGTGCATAAATGATACACTTGGCTTGGTCCGACAGCTACTGGTCGTTGTGAGATAACTATACTCAGATAGATGATGGGCAATGACTGTTTTTTTTATTGCATGCAAGCAAAACAGAAAAGTGCAAGCATCAAAATTACATTAAAAAAAAGATTTTTAATTTGCATCAAATCTCAATGTCAGGGTTTAGTGACTGCTGTTCATTTAGGGTGTAGTGTATTAAGAATACATTAAAATCTCACATAGAGATATTAATAAAAGACAAACAGGACTGTTACATTGTTTCATAGAAAGCCTTAACACAGCTAGTGGTGTTCTAACTGTATGGAACCACACATGAAAAACTATGAAATTCTGAAAGGGTGGAGTGGAGGTTTTAATAACTCAAAACACATGTATGTCACACCCATGAGTTCCCAAAAACTTGCTCCATAACCTAAGCTTCAACATACGACATAAAACAACAATGCTTTTGAATCTGGCAAAGTCTAAGGAAAAACAGAGAGAAGGAAAAAAGGCTGCTTTTTGTATATTTGTTCTGCCCTACTTACATTTAACAGATTGATTTTCCTATGGATTCTTGCTTGGAATTCTTAAAATAAGCTTGCATTTATCCTCCTTTTTGGATTGCAACCCTGTATAAAATAGGACTATTAACTAAAGACAAGGAACTACTCTGTCAAAAGCAATTTACAAACAGAATCGTAGAGTCAAAACAAAAACTATTAATAGCACATATACAAACATAACCACCAATATTTTCACCAATTAATTGTATTGTATTACATCAAAAGCATATATACTTCATCACATTATATCAGATGCTATTTGTTACAGTATCCTATAGTCTAGTATTCCAAGGTAAACCCCTGATGGGGTGTTTGCACAAAGCCTAAGTCAAATCTTAAATGTGTCATCTATCTTTCTTCTTAAATTTATATTAATTTTAATTAATGGTAATCTTTATGTATTTTATGTTTTTCAACTGCGTAATCAAAGATTTGCAAATAAAAAAAAAGGTATTGTTAAATATGAAAACAACACAATGACATTTTCAAGCACTTTCAAGCTCGGTCATCCAAAATGTTGCCATACAAACCTTGAAAACATGATTAAAATTCAAGCGTTTTTGTAAGGATTTCCAGCACCCATATGAACCCTGCATAGTTCACCTTAAAATGTAAAATGTCATCATTTATTCACCCATGACTTGTTCCAAACCAATGTGTTTTTTGTAATGGTCTGGTTGAGTCAATGGTTATAGGTTTCCTACATTCTTTAAAATAAATAGCACTGGTTTGAAACAAGGTTGAGTAAATAATCAAAGAATTTTCATTTTTGGATGCAATATCACTTTAAAATAGGAATAGAAAAGCCAATCCAATAATTTGCATGTCTTCATATCTTCTACCCTATTCAACTTCATTATGAATAGATATTACATATGCAATAAATTCTTTAGGATATTTGGAGGTTCTCAGTATCAGAGAGCTTGAAAATCAGCATTCTCAAATATCAAACTATTCAAATCACTCATGCCTACTGTTTGCTAATAAGCAAGATATTTGTCACCAAATACAGCAGACAGAGACATAGTATCTGTGAATAGTGACACATTACAGGGAATCCGTGTTATTACGGGTCTATGTTGGGCTCCAGTAGTAGCAGAGCCCTGGGCAACTTACAAGAGACAAACAACAGCGACGAAAGCTGGACTTTGCAAGACAAAATCTTTGACAAATTAGGCTGCGGGCAAGACAGCAGAGGCAGCTGTCAACAGAGATGATTAGCATGCCGTTCAAAATTCAAAACTTAAAGCTCGTGTGTCAAACCTAAGTTACCTAGAACATACTGTACTTTCCTTCAGCGACTCTTATTGTGGAATTAAGCTGAACTGAAACACAAGGCTGAGTTTTGGATTTTTAAATTTAGACTAGTCTAATAGATTTATCTCCATCCTGACATGTCCTTCGACATAAAAGTTGCCCTCAAAACCAAATTTAACCCAAAGAACATATATGCTAGGAGCTATCATCAGGAAATAAAACATGTCTCTTGACCTTCAAACATAAAGTCTACATTGACTTGTCAATGGTGGCACACACGCTAACTGTGAATATGCCTTTCTGTAAACATCCAGAGAATCTGACAGGCCGTTATAGTGAAACATCGCTAACTGAGACCACCTGCAACCCCAGCACGGGTCACGAGGGTGGCAGATCTACAAATGCGAAGAAAAGGGCAGGTGAAGGGAACGCTGAAGAAACCACATCCATCCCTTCATGTTCAGTCCTCTGAAATTACACATCACAGAGCTTTAAATAGCACCGACGGGCAGCTGTTGACAGTGGTTAGTGATGGCATTCTACACAAATATAGACCACGCCATAAACGGAGTCGCAAAACAAAACTTTGTTGTGTTCCCAGTGTGGGGACAGGAGGGAATGGCTCAACCACATGTTTATCTCAAGCGGTACATATGATAGCTTGATGGACACCATGATGAAAGGCTGAAAAGCTGTAACCTATTAGCTTGGAGCAACAAACTTGAACTTGTAAACAGGAAAAAGATCAAACAGAGACTAGCTGGTGAAGACAATTCCAAGTAAAACTTGACCCCGTTGGGTTTTGCAATGAGCCAAAGGCTTGAATACACTTCAAATGTCAAGAGTTGATAATAGGCTATAGCGTTTTCACTCCAACCAGGTTTGTTTCTGCTCACATGCTCGAGGGTGTCTTATCTGGGTCTGTTTTAAAGAGGGTGTCTATGCTATTCCAATCCTGATAGACATGGGCCACTCAGTGACTTATTTTATGACCCTGACATGTGATCCCACATTACAATCTTGCAACTTGTTTCACGCCACCACTCGGGGGAGAAGGACAGCTGATTTGGGTGACACTACACTAATGAAGGGCTTTAAACTGAGTTGGGAAAGTGTGGCACTGGTGTCACCAAATAATTCTAGAGATTATTTCCATCATGTTATATCTAGGCATGTTACTGTCATTGTCAAAGCTTTAAATCAATGGTCTCAATCTTAATTCCTGGAGGGCCACAGCTCTGCATAGTTTATCTCCAACCACCTCCAACTCACACTTGCTTAATAGTCTTTAGTAGTTTTGAACACCTTGACTAGCTGGATCAGCTGTGTTTGATTAGGGCTCCAGCAATCGAGTTTGAGACCTATGCTATAAATACATACATACAGTTGTCAGAATTAATAGCCCCCCTGAATTATTTATACCCCTTGTTTATTTTTTTCCCCAATTTCTGTTTAATGGAAAGATTTTTTCAGCACATTTGTAAACATAATAGTTTTAATAACTCATTTCTAATAAATGATTTATTTTATCTTTGCCATGATGACAGTAAATAATAATTTACTAGATATTTTTCAAGACACTTCTATACAGCTTAAAGTCACTGTTGGAGCCATTTATGGGTTGCAATTTTCTTTTGCACCACTAGAGGGTGTATAAGGTATCTATGCTCTCCTCACGACGAGTGAGAGATGTGTAGAAAAAGAAGGTCAAACAAACTTTTTGACCGCCGTGCTGTGAGAACGGGTTTATGTATGTTTTGATGTTTACTTTTAATTTTGAGAAAGGACAGTAAATGGATTTGAATATCCAACTTTATTTACAAAGGTATGGACATTTTACTTTTTTATTGACCTGTTTAAACAACAAACGTGTCAAAACCAAGACCCAAATATTCGCATCTACAGTCACATTTACATGCTTAACTAGGTTAATTAGGTTAACTAGACAGAATAGGGTAATTAGGCAAGTTATTGTATAAAAATTGTTTGTTCTGAAGACTATCGAAATAAATAAAGCTTAAAGAGGCTAATAATTTTGTCCCTAAAGTGGTTAATAAAAAATTAAAAACGGCTTTTATTCTAGTCGAAATAAAACAAATAAGATTTTCTCCAGAAACATATTATTAGACATACTGTGAAAATGTCCTTGCTCAATTAAACACAATTTGAGAAATATAAAAAAAATCTAAAAAAAAATATTTAAAAAAAAACTATGAAAAAAAATGATAACATTCTTATTATTAGCTAAAAGGTCTGGTAAAATGAGAATTTCACAATTTTTTTTATCTTTCAGATTTCACATAAAAACACTGACATTTAGTTTTTTTTTTTAGAAAATTATAATCTGTCAGAATAACAAATGTTTTCAGGGGGTTTTTTTTACGGTGCAGTATGCGAGTTTGATATCTAGT